CTATTTATTACATCGAACAATTAATATTAAAACTTAAAAATTATTTAATAAAGGCTACAAATTTATAGTTTAATCAATAAATTAATTAATCTAGTAAATTTATTTATAGTCTTATTAGAATAGTGAAACACTCAGAAATGTTTTCTTATGAAAAAAAAAACAATTAAGTACGCATTGTATTGTCACGCAATAACCCTGGAAAATTTTGATGGTTTCGACGGAGCCCTTACCTTTCGGGACCAGTTACGAAAGTACCGGTGTGTACCAGTAAAAATCACAGGTTCATGCGTATGCAGCGAATTTGCTAAAAAACATCAAGCCTTAGGTTGGTTGCGTGTTTTATGTCAGCATTTTTAAAACGTATCTATCGTCAAAGATAAAAATAGAAATGCAAAATTTCAAACTTAATTTTAATAATGATAAAAATAAAATAAAAAACATTTAAAAAAATAAAAAATAAAAAACACTGTCGTAACATTAATATCGCACAGTTTCCTAGACGTCTATAGGAATAGGTCTGGTAGAAACATATAGAAAGATGAAGGTAGGTTGATACTTTAATTACGTCACACTAGAGCTGCACAATGGGCTATTGGCGAGGATCTGGGAAACATCGCTGAGGATGATCTGAAGACATGCTACAGCAATTTTGATCCTCTGCATAGGGGATGGCTCCCCTGCTTTGGAAGTCCGATGACCTGCTAGCGAAGTCAAGCACTTTACGGTAGATAAGTTTCACGAGAACCGATACCGTGCGTCCTCGGTCCCTACGCAGGGTGATCAAAGTGGTCACCCACCCGTTTACTGACCGCATCTAGCGATGCTTGACTTTGGTCTTCTACTGGGACGATGTTATTAACGGTTTTTTCGGTGTTTTTTAACGATCAGTCTACTGCGGGACGAAGTAAAATGATTTTTTTTAAAAAAGCTTTTGTAACAATATAAATACATATTTCATTGAGTTAAATTCAGTTCTACTGAAGTTAGAATTTGAGTTCGGCTTTGAAGTTTACCGGTTCGACTCTAGCAGTTTTTCGGTACTCGAACCTAGATTGTGAGTTGTTTTCACTACTGAATCCACAGTACTCGGACCTAGTACATCGTTGATTTCATATAAATATGCTGTTTTTGCGTCTTAAGCCCCATAGTGGACAGATCGTAAGACACGGATCCCCAGTGAATCACTGAAGTCAGGCATCACTGGGTGCGGTTAGTGAGCGGGTGGGTGACCGCTTTGATCAGCTTGCGATACTATCAAGAGTGCACGGTATCAGTTCTCGTTAAACTGTTCTACCGTAAAATGCTCGACCTCTCGAGCAGGCGGGAGTTCATCACCTACGCGGAGGAGCCATTCACTCTGCTAAGGACCGAAATTGTGATGTCATGTCTTTGGTTCACGTCAGGGATGATTATCAGAACGTCACTAATAGCCCACAGAGCCGCGAAGGCTCAGGGGAAAGAGCATTCGCCTTCCAATGAGGTGAACTGGGTTCGAATCCCAGCGATGGCAAGTCAATATGAATTCCGCATCCGGCTTGCGCCGACCACAGTGATGACATGAAATATCCTCAGTGGTTGATGGATCATAGATTAGAGTCTCCTTGCCGTCAGACCAGCCGTGAGAGGTTTTCGTGGTTTTCTTCTTTATGTAACGCAAATGCGGGTTAGTTCTCTCAAAAAGTCCTCCACGAAGGCAAATTTCACCCAATACTTGACCCAGGAGTTCCCTTGTCTTACAAGCCTACGGAGTTGAGCATTAGTAGTTGTAATTTAGTATTAGTATTAGTAGTTTAGTAGTGAGCATTGTTTTTTAGAGTTGTGCCATCTGTTCAATTTGACAAGGGCTTATAATCTATTCTTTGTATTGACCACGCGCGCCTGCGTAAACATGTAAAATAAATTTATTTATTTATTGTAACTCATGCACTACGCATATTTGTTTACGAGTTACAAAATACGTTTCATCACTCAAAATACGTTTCATTAGTAAAGTTTAAAAACAAATAGAAGAGAAGGATTGACAAAAGAATTTTACTAAGATACATCCGCTGTAGCTTGCAGATAGAGGGTTTGAATCCCACTTTCATCCAGGATGTTCTATTTGTTCTTCAACTTTACAAGATCTTATAAGCCGTAATGAGCAGGCAAATTTGCATGTGTATGTGTAACAATAAATAAATATAAACATAAATTAATGGATATACCCAGAGTTACCAGAGTGCCGCTACCTCCACGCTTTTGTTTTGGGATGCTTGGATTGCCTGATACGTGACAGTTAAATTTCTGATCTAGTTCAGCCTTGTTCAGACCTTTGTATTGCATATACATATGCAGGCTTGTGTGCTTATTTCAAAATACTGCTTTTTGTATAATTACAAATGCGCATTTTTTTAAAAGGATGGTAGATGCTATTTTATAGCTTACATAGAAATGAAAAGAAGAAGTAATCAATTATGAACAAAGTTAACAGGCGTTTACTAAATAAAATAGTGGTTATTAAATTGAACATTCTTGTGTTATCTCAAACTGTACAAAAACTATTAAAATTACCGACTCTCTAGATAGAATTACCTTTAGAATAATAATTTTACCAAATAAACTAGAAACAGCATGAAATCATGCTTTGTTTGTAATTTTATCAAAAGTCTTTGCTAAAGCGCGAAGTTAAAAATTACCGTATTTTAGGTGTTCTCATAGAGCTTAAACCCACTGTAAATTTTACCAAGTTCTTGAAGTTTTGGCCGTAATTTTTTTGCCCAAGTGCTCTAGTTACCATCTGTAATAAATGTTATTCTATTCTTCGTTCATTTTTCTATCAATTTTTCCAATTAAGTTAGATAATCCTACACGAACACAAGTTGTAGAGTCCTAGTTCAGCACGCCATATGTGTAGAAAGGAATAGTTGGTCATACCCTAGTCGTGATTTTCCAATCCAGTGGCCTTAGACGAAGCACTCTCCTGTTTGGCTACTTTTTTTTCAAAAAAAAATAAAAGAAAACTTAATTCTTGACTTTTTTTAGTTCAAGAGAAAAGATTTCAAAAGCTGGTATTATAATTGGAACCAACTATTGTTAAAGGTCGGAGGATTTTAAATTAGCAAGCCAGTCCTTAAGGTTCCTTTTTTAAGGTCTAGCGTTCGTTTTTAAAGTCTAAGGTTGTTTTTTTTTAAAGTCTTTCGTGATTAAAATCGATTGTAATTTTACTTGAATGAGAAATCAGTCTTTTAGCTTCAAAATTAAAAAATTATTCTGTGTCAAAAGAAAAGACTATATTCTTATTTCGTAAGGTAATTTTTTGGAAGTATGTTAAAACCCAACTTTAACTTACCTGGTCGAACAAAATCGTAAATATAATGTCATTTTTCCTACGTTAATTCAAATTATCTCAAGAAAAGTATTGCTATCAAAAATACTTTGAGATTTCGGTGTTTTTCCTTTCACGTATTTTTTATTCTCAGTACCTTCTCCTGTACCAGAGAATATACATAAAATATGGAAGGGAAAGTTAATCCCGGTTTATATTTTGTAATTCAACATTATATACTTTTAGTGTTAAAAAAATTGTTTTTTTTAGAGGTAGTGCTGCCATCTATCGAGAAATTTTGTAAACTTAAATCAATTGATGAAACAGAAGAAATTACAGGGGTTTTTAGAAAAAGAGATTGTTATTAAAAACAGTTTAAGATATAAAGTAATTTTTAATAATTTTTTCTAAATATTTAAAAGTAGCACCACGTCTGCGCTTCATGCGTTATAATAGGTAAAAATTTTCCTGAATAATACATGTTGTAATTGAAATAGATATTAAAAACTCCTAATGTAATAAAATTTTTCTTGAGTCATGATCTTCGAACGAAAACAAGGATAAGTTCTAATATCAAAATTACCCCAAATATGAAAATTATAATCAGACCAATTAAATAGACATATACTTGTGGTAAGAATAAAAATTCTATTTATTTTATGGCAAGAATTATTTTAAAAACCAGATCTGGTATATTTCAGAAACATAATTACTAAAAAAACTATCTCTTTAATTATAAAAAATATTGGTTCAGTTAATCAGAGGAAATTTATTAAAAAACTTTTTCTCTCGGAGATCGGTTGTTAATTTTGAAAAATTGTTTACTTTTTTTGGCAACCAAAATAATAAAATATAATACTGACGGGGAAAAAATCATACTTGGCTAATTTTCTGTCGAATTGTTTACTTTTTTTTCTCTCTTTTAAATCATTCTATAATAGAGGGGAAAAATCATACTTGGCTAATTTTGTGTCGAATTGTTTACTTTTTTTTTCTCTCTTTTAAATTTTTCTATAATAGAGGGGAAATAACAAAAATAATGTTTACTCCCTCAGAAAACGAGTAAGATGTTGTTAACGATGTTGCTATCTGAGATAGAGGGGAAATAACATTTTTAAAAAATGTTTACTCCATCAGAAAATAAGTAAGATATTGTTAACAATGTTGCAATCTACAATAGAGAGGAAATAAAATTTTTAAAAAATGCTATCTATAACAGAAAACAAGTAAGATGTCGATACGAGTAAGATGTTGTTATAGTTAGGTAAGATTTATACTAAGCTTACACTTATTTGTAAATAAACATGAGCATCATCTTTGTCCTTAGTATGATTTCCCTAATTTTTTATCAAATAATCGTGCATCTTTTTTATCAAATTATGAGGAAATAAAAATTTGATTTTTCAGTTCTGGTTTCATATTGTCCCTTAAATAAGCAATAAAATTGAAGTTCGTTGTTACTAGAAATGTATATTTGATTGGTATATGAAAAATAAAACATAAATGATTTAATATTTGTTTTAACTTTTTACTAATCCAAAATCATTAGACCAAAATTGTTTACAATTTGTGCCATTGTCTTTGTTTGACTATACAATTCGTTGGTACATTTTTTTTCTTTATCATTGATTAGTTCATAAGCTTAATTTAGTTTTAGCACATATTTCCTCTCTTGTTGTAAATTTCAGTAGTGATAAAAACATGTGGTTTTACCTGATAAGAAAGCTTATAACAAATGATAAAGCCTTTCAGAAACCATATCTGATATAAACATAAAAATAATCAGTACTCGTGGCTGCAAGTTGGCAGTTTTAAAGAGATACAATTGAAACATGTGAGTAAGAAAAATTAATTTTTCAGCGTGTTATTAAATGTCATTATTCATAAAGAAATAATAATTTCTTCATATTAATTAGTTATAAAATTTTAAATGAGTACAATTCACAAACAAAAAGTCTATGTATTTTCTTACATATTAAAAAATTCTCTTAGCTTGAGTAATGAATAAGCTATTTGCTGATTTTGTCTATGGTTTATTTATTTATTTTAATTTTTCCTTAATCTGTTCCAAATTTTATAGCCCAACAAAGCAGGTATTAGTTTTATCATTCATTAAAACTTTATCCAATACTTTAATTATAGGGTTTTTTTAATGAGAATTCAATACGTAATTCTACCAGAAATTTATAAATCTCATTATTCATAAAGAAATAATAATTTCTTTATATTAATTAGTTTTAAAATTTTAAATGAGTACGATTCACAAACAAAAAATCCATGTATTTTCTTACATATTAAAAAATTCTCTTAGCTTGAGTAATGAATAAGCTATTTGCTGATTTTGTCTATGGTTTATTTATTTATTTTAATTTTTCCTTAATCTGTTCCAAATTTTATAGCCCAACAAAGCAGGTATTAGTTTTATCATTCATTAAAACTTTATCCAATACTTTAATTATAGGGTTTTTTTAATGAGAATTCAATACGTAATTCTACCAGAAATTTATAAATCTCATTATTCATAAAGAAATAATAATTTCTTTATATTAATTAGTTTTAAAATTTTAAATGTGTACAATTCACAAACAAACAATCCATGTATTTTCTCATATATTAAAAAATTCTCTTAGTTTGAGTAATGAATAAGCCTTTAGCTGATTTTGTCTATGGTTTATTTATTTATTCTAATTTTTGCTTAATCTGTTCCAAATTTTATAGTCCAACAAAGCAGGTATTAGTTTTATTATTCATTAAAACGTTATCCTATACTTTAATTATAGATTTTTTAATGAGAATTCAATACGTAATTCTACCAGAAATTTCTTTACATGTGGAATGCACAGTTTCTAAAAATTGTTTTGTCAAAAACTTTTCAAATTTTTATTTATTTATATAATTTATTTATTCATTTTATTTTATTAATTAATTAATTTATTTTTGTCTGGTGCAACTCTTAAAAAAATTTTCTTAATTAAGGAGAAATACATAAAAAATACGATTTTTCCTATTATATTTTTTCCTGAAAAAAATATTATAAAACGTTTTTGTTAATAAGCTTTGAAATAAAGCAATTTTTTAATTTTTTAAAAAACTACATATATTTCAAATTTTAAAAGTAACCAAAATAAAAAATTTCTTCGCATTTTTTAATTCTACTATTAACTAGAATGTGAAATCTGAGAGATACAAGAATACACTTAAATTAAGATAAGGAAAGTTGTAATTAAATGCAATGTTTACATTGATTAAAAACATAAACAACATAGATCTTGAATTAAAAACGCTACTGCGTTGTTGGTAAAAAAAAGTTTTTTTAATGGGTTTGCATAGTTAATAATTACAATGCATTTAAATTATTTTTTTTATTGATCATGTATCACACTTATAGAATGAAAAGAACTTAGGTAAAATTTTGACAAGGAATTTGCTCACATTTTGCTCGGAGTAACTCCACAAATATTTATTCTTAACTATGCTCTAAAAAGTACAATTATATGTATTATATTATACATGATAAAAAAATTTATAGTATATTTAAATTTTAAAAGTAACTACAATAAAAATTGTATTTACAGCTGTTAAAATAACGAACTCAGGATGAAAACTACGGCACTATTTTTTGTTCTGTTTAATGCAGTGTTTGTTGCAGTTCTCACGGACCAGTCGTTAGGTAAGTTCCATTTGGTATGCATCTTTTTAAACAAATAAAAAAAATGGCAAGCAAACTCATTTTTTAAAGATGTTTTGGAAGTTGTATCAAAAAAGTTTTCATTAAAACAAGGAAAAGCCTGTTTCCTTTTTTTTTTTTTTTTTGTTGTCAAGATTGAGTTGTGGTTACATTTGGTTTTCTTACAGTATATATTTTCAACTGGTTACTAAGAGCATCATAAAAGATGCAACTGAATAAAAAATTACTTAAAATTAGAAAATTTCTTAACAAAATAATTACAAATTTATAAAATAACTTAAACAATGAAACTAAAAAAAAAGAAATGGGCTTAGTTTCGATTTTTTTTTAAGAAAAAAAATCCGAACTAAGCCTATTTCTTTTTTTTCCATTATTTTTTTTAAAAAAATAATAAATTGAGAGACAGCTACATTTTGTTTTCTTATAGTATGTATTTTCAACTGGTTACTAAGAACATGATAGTGCATACAAAAGAATAAAAAAATACTTAAAACTTAAAAAGTTCATAACAAAATAATTAAAAATTTCTGAAATAACTTAAACAGTAAACTAAAAAAATTTCACCGAAGCCTATAAGTGTTACTAACATCTTTTAAGTAATATTTCAAAATGGGTTTATTTTGATACTTCATATTTCGATCTTAAGCAAAACAGAAATATTTGTGGCAAGTTTATTTTTCCTTTACAAAAAGCTTCTTCAAATATCGAATAAAATCTAAAATTTATTTTCTTTATTATGGTTCTTAATTGTTATTTTTTTAATTAATTGCTTTAATTTTTACCATAGACGAGGTTCCTGAACTTCAGTTTGTAGAACCTGATCCAGATCTTGAAAAATATTTGAGAGAAGCTATTGAGAACTTCAGAGAACAAATGAAAGTAGGAATAGAAGCTATTAAAATGCCAGTTTTGGATCCTTTGGAACTTAAAAACCTTGACATCAATGTTCTTGAAAACCTCGCAACTTTAGATTTAAAAATTAGAAAGGTTTGTAAATTTTATCTTAAAAAAGTCTTTAAAGAAATTCTTAATTTACAGAATCATTAAGAACTATTTTTACATCTTAAGGGGTCATCAAAGTTTCCTTGCAAAAAATTTTTTAAATAAAGGTATAATCATTCATTTTGCGAATGCTTTACATGCTCATTTAGCTTATAATCAATAATTTATCTTCAAAAAATAATTGAACTGTTTAAATTTATTAAAATTTTAAAAAAAATGGAAAAAATTCAAAGGGCTAACATATTTTCAATTTTTTTTTCTTCTTAGTGTTTACAATATTCATCTTAACAATTTTGTGCATCCATTTGTTGATGTATCAATAAGAATATTTTTTTATCGATTATTTTGTAAAAAAGTTGAAAAAAAGGTTAAAAATTCCTGTTAGGCATATATAGCATGCTGTAAAAATTTTAATACCTCATAAAACTTTTATTCCATGCACAATTTAAATAAGTGTTTTATATTTAAGATAAAAAAAGTTTACTTCAAAGCTTTATCTTAAATAGAAAAAATTCTTTGGGATTTATAATATTATACAAAACTATCATCATATTATCACAAAATTATCATCTATGATAAGAAGAACTTTAAAGTCTGTCTGTTGAGCATGTTTTTGTATTAGGGCAATCTAAAATCATTCATATTTATTTAAAAATGTAGATAGAGAGATGACTTTTTTTCAGTGCTTTTGAAATAGTTTGAAGTTTAATTATAAGCAATAAAAAATTCTTTCTATATTTTGGTCATTTTTTGGGTACTGTGACCCCTTAAACATTGTTTTTGCTGTCTTGTTATTCATTTATTACCATTTAAAAATCAAACAATACTTTGCAAAGATGTAAAAGCAGTTGTCGATATTACAATTACAAGTAACATAATTTTCGATATTACAATTACAAGTAACGTAATTTACTTAGGTTTTTTTTTTAGACAAAGACTTAACGATATTTCATGTGTTCTATATTTTTAATTGAAATTCCGTTGAAAGGTATTATAAACTGTTTAGAAAAATGATAAAAAGTAGCTAAACTAAAATAAATATGAATAATTTAAATACTATAAAATTACTTGAAAATATTTTTTGAAGAAAAAATTCCTAACAGTGATTTTCAAAATTAAAGTGAAAGCTAAAATGATAGAATTTCTACATGATCTAATTTTTTATAACATACTATTTAAAAAGTCTAAAACTCCACATTGAAATGTGCTAAAAAAGAATGATTATGCTACAGCTCACATCTAATTATGCCTCTTCACAAATAATTATGAAGTCTGTGGCTGATTGTTCTTATACGCTTCAAGTTTTTTTTAATTTAAAAGTCAAATGCGAAATGGATACAACATTTTTTCAAATGTTTAATATATTTAATAAGCTTTTAAAATAGCAATTTTCATCACTTTTGTATAAAAGATGTATTTAATCAACAACTCATTTACAAATCATGAGTAGATGTCTTTAATATTTTAAAAAGCTATTAGATGAAAGTTAGATTTTTTTTCACTTTTTCTTTATTGAAAATTTTGAGCAAAAGAACGCATATTTTAAATTCTCTTAAAGATATTTTGAATGAGATATTAGAATTAATATAAAACCATAACAAAATTTACAAAAATAAATAAAGAAAAGAAAAAGAACATCGAAAATTGGCCACTGTATTTGAATGTAAAATGCTATCAATAGCTGATTCTTAATTCCAGTGATTGAATTCCTAGATATAAATTCACCTCAATAAATTCCTGATACGTGGAATATTTTCAGCTTCTTCCTCTCATTTCATTACATAAGCAATTATATTCTCTTATATCCCTCTTTTATAGTCTAAAAAAATATTCTCAGCCTCCTCCATTGAAAAAAATATGTTTCTGAAACAAATTTTTTCAATAAGCATTAGTGCAAAACATCCATTTTAAAATTTTGTTCCTATAATTTTTGGAATTGAAATTACTTTGGATTATTTTTTACTTTTAACACAATTGCCAAATTAGCAATGATTTTACCATTTAACAACAACTTTTCAGTTGACGACAAGGCAGGCATATGATACGTAAAAGTGAAATTCGTAACTAGGTATATATTAGGATTTGATAATGCTAACCAATCCCGAAAGCCTTGCCACGCCTTTAAAGGTACTAGATTTTTTTTTAACGTCGACAGAAAAATATGTTTCATTTCTAAAAATGACGAAAATTTTGAAAAAAAGAGCATTTCTCTAATGTTGCATTCTTTATATATTTCTGTAGGAAAATATCCATGTGCTGTAAATGGATATTCAAATGTCACGAAACTCTCTCCGTTTGTGACGAAACCGTTTCTCTGCTCTCCGAGCAAACATTTCATCAAATTGACGGAATAAATATCGTTACTTCTTCGAGGAAAACGCATTTTGTCAGTAGTAAAAAAGTATTTCCTCATTTTTTCCGAAAAAAAAAGAACTCACAGTGAATCTATTGAACTTTTCTAATGATCACTTTATTGAGGGCTCCATATATCTTAGTCAATGTCACCTTAACATAAGCCATACACGCCGGCGGGCTTATTTCATTTTATTTTCGATCGTCTAGTCTTCATTTTAGTTAAAAAAATCCCCCACGATGCAATGTGATGAAGTTTCAAGTTGAGGAAATAGTTAAGTCCCAGATTTGAGAATTTCCGTTTTGTTATAAATCACGTGATTTTGCGATATTTTTTCTCGAAATTAACAAAATATAGCTAGCTCATAGATAGCTGAATAGGCAAAAGAGAGAATTTTATTTCCAAGAGTGTGTACTCAATCAGGTATTCCGTAATAACTATTCACAATAGTTTTCAATATTTCAATCCAGATTTTACCCAAAAATGTCGTTAATGTTGGAATTGCCTCAATCCTAAAATTACAATACTCAATCCTCAATCACCAGAAAATATGCATGTTTGTGCAATAAGCATTCTCATATTGTGAACACATTGCATGAAATCCTTACCATTTGCTCAAATGCCATTATTATTACAAATAAACAGTTGTGTTCAAAACATTTTGCAAGTTAAAAAATATTTTTTTTGGTTCCGGGTTTACATAATTATTGGAAAATTGTTTACTAATTGTTTACAAAATTGTCAATAAAAATTTATTGTAAATAAGCATATTTGATTTTAAATTATACTAATCATCTGAAAATAGTAATTTTTATGCAACTGATTAATTTTATTTGAAACTAAATAAATATGTAGTATAGAGTGATAAAAAAAAACATCCCTGAGGGTGATTCAAAGATCACAATCCAAAAGATCCTCTGCAGATGGGATCTCATTTGTGAGGTCACTTCCTCAATTTAGACATAGACCTGAAGGGGATGGAAATTTATTCCAGATTTCTATATCCATGGTTCTGATCAGTGACCGACCACAGGACTTACTATTCCTCCGATTTTACAAGCACGTATATTGCTTATACTGGTTGGGTCTTATCGGAGTCCAGAATCAAGCACCGGGCTCTTCGGATCGGAGTCCGATTCTCTAGCCACTGACATTATAAATGTTTTCAATTTTGAAAGTCCTTAGAGTTTTCAGTACAACTTCTATTTTGCAAACCAAATTTTTATCCTTTTCCCCCTTTATTTGAACTATAATCTTATTTTCCTTTATTTGTTCTGCTATGTACTGAAATATTTTCTGTTATGTAATTACAATTTACAAACCAACTTTGTATTCATATTTTTTATTCAAAGTATATTCTTATTTTCTTCTCTTTTTTTCTGTAATTACTGAAATTTGGCCTACTTTCTGTTTTTAGATAACAGTTCTTGGATTATCTAGTTTCAACTTCCGAGATATTTATCCTGATCTGGAAAACTTTTATTTGGAATTTAATTTTACAATGCCTAGCTTAACTTCACATGGAAAATATAACATGAATGGAAAACTGCTGAGAATATTTCCCGTACGAGGAAATGGTACTTTTGAAATTAATATAACTAATGTAGAAATAGGTGGACTTGGCCAACTGGAATTTATAAATGATACTTTGCAGATGACAAAACTGGAATTAAATTTAACGTGGAAAAATCTCGGGCTGTTTCTTGAAAATTTCTTAGGTGGTGGAAAATTTTCCGAAGTATTGCAAAAACTGATACCTGCTTTAGGAAAAACTATGTTTGATAATTTTAAACCAACTATTTTAGAATTAATGAACAGTTCTTTGATAAATCAAGTTAACAAACAACTTCAAAGGCCTGAAGTTAAAAAAATCATTGATGGTATTTTACCCAATAGACAGTGACCAGTTAAATGCTTTCTACAAAATGACAATGAGCTTAATATTTTTTGCATACTATAAAGAATAACGCTCTCTACAAATATACTTTTGTGATTGATGCACTTTTATACTTGATTCATATATTTTTGTCTCATATTGATGAACTTTATACTTCTTTTGTTATTTTAAAACATGTAGCGGTTATGTTAACTTATTTTTTTACTGTATAAATTAAATTATGTGTTTTTATATCAATTTTAAAATAATTGAATGCTGCTTTGTAAATAAAGTTAATTTAATAACTTTGAACCGACTATTTTAAGATTAACGAGCAGTTCCCTTGCAAAAGAAGTTAACAAACAACAATTTTGTAGATCTGATTATAAGAAAATTAATGAAAATATTTTATTGCAAAAATCTTTAAACTATAATTTTTAATACTTTATTAATAAGCTTTTTAAGTCTTATATTAAATTGCAAAGCTATATAATTCAATATTTTTATGTAGTGTGGGTGTAAATTATATAATTTTTGTAAATAAAGATTTGCTTCTACAAATATTTCAATAACATTTTGTATAGCAAAATTTACTTTTTTTTTAATTAAGTGTGCAAATATGAAATTATTTCTCTCTTGCACAAATGCATTAGAGATGTAACTAATCTTTAAAAAAATATTTACAAAAGAGGTCTCCATAGTATTATCACAAAATATTATTAAAATAAAGTAACGTTTTTCTAATCCATAAATGCTACTTATTTCTTCTAGACAATAAAAAGTGACTTTAGTTTGAGAATATTTTTCATTCTGGTGTTTTAATAAGAAATATAGAAAAATTATACTATAAACTTTAAATGTAAAATTTTTCGTACGCATAAAGTATCTATATATAATTATATTTTAAATACCTAAAAACATTAATATTTTAAAGAGAAAATGAATGCACTTTTTTAGATATCAATTTTTTCTTATCACATTTTTATAATCTTTTTCAGATAATAAAATAAGAGGAAAGTTCACAAGTTTAAAAAAAACTCAAAGTACCTTTTTTTCTCAAAATATGTAATTTAGGAACAAATTTAGTAGATTCATTTCAATATTTTACTCAATCGAAATATTTTACTCTTACACGCCTTGATTGAAATATATTCATCATCTCAGTAAAAGCATTTTATTGCTCTTTTGTCAAAAACTTAATTTCGCATTTTTCTCTTAAAATCTTAAATTTAAAAAAAAAAAGTTTATATTTCAATAACTAAAGCGAAATGGATAAAATTAATTATATAAATTACTTACTTGCATAGAATAAACTAGCATATAAGCTTACTTTCATTTAATAAGCAAGATAAAATATCGTATTAGGCAAGAGAAAATTCAAGCAATATTCGCTTTGCGAAACTGTATCAGCTTGATATAAATTGTAATTAAGGTATCCAATTAGGTAAAAATCGGCAATTTTGACGAAAATTTCAATTTCTTTTTACTGTCTATACATGAACTTTTGTTCATTAGCTTTTTAAATCTTAAATTTTTGTTTCCCGCTTTTTAGAATCGAAGTGTAATTGTTTTTTCGCTTGTTGATAAGCGAAACAGAATAGCAATTACATACTTTAATTGCATTGCCAGAAAAAACGTAAATTTCAGAAAATCTCTTTACGCTAACGCACATTACAAAAAAACATTAATGTATAATTCTTTGAAATTTTGTATGTAGATTTTATGTAATATTAGCTATTTTTTGAACTAAAATCTAAGATCTAGGTGTGAATTCATTATTTTTTACCATGCTTTAAGTAAGAATGTTCATAGATTTTATTTAAAAAATCAACGCAAAACAATATATAGCTCTATTGCATTATATATTTCAATTTTTTTTTAAAGATTTTAGTTCAAAACATAGGTAAGAACATTATTGCTCCATGATTTGTTTTTTTGATGTTCATAACAATTTGTATAGAGCTGGTTTTCGAGACCTAAAAAAATTTGTAGTTTCATGCTAAAATTTGCCCTCATTTTGAAAGAATATTTAAAAAAATTTTAAAATTTACTATAGATTTATGATGTTAGTACACCTGCGTACAAAGACTAAAATTAAAATTTTAATAAAGGCTATTTTCCGAACTAAAAAAATTTGTGCCGAACCCAGATGAATATCTTAAAAGAGATAATAATATAACTATCAACAAAATACTATCTGATTAAAAACTTCATTCCCTTCAAGAATATATAAAGAGGAATTAACATGTTCAAAGCACTCATAAATAGGAAACTATTTTCAAAACTTGCCAATTGAGAATGAATTCTCATTCTCGTCTGTTAACGACATTAAATAAGGTTAGATAACAACAATACCTCTCGGCCAATGCGGTTTTTCTCGTTCGGTTTCTTCTGTTTTCTTTCTTGGCTACTGCAATTTTTATAGTTTAACTTCTCACCTTTATTTTTTCCATTTTTCGTTGGCAACTTTACGTTTTATATTTTAAATTACTTTTGTTTCTTCTCATTCACATCTCGCAAGTCTTGCAAATGGGCAATGAGCATATATGTTTGAGCACTTGAAACATGTAGACTGTTACTTCTTATTTATATGTTTTTGATGGCATAGTATGGTATATTATTTACGTCACACTACAGCTGCACAATGGGCTATTGACAACTGTCTGGAAACCATCCTAGAGGATGATCCGAAGACATGCCATCACAAATTTTGATCCCTTGCAGAGGGGATGACTTCCCTGCTTTGGTAGCCAGACGACCTGCGCGCCAAATCGAGCACTTAACGGTAGAACAGTTTAACGAGGACCGATACCGCTCACCATTGGTTCCTACGCAGGCTTATCGAATTGGTCACCCACCCGCTTACTGACCACAGGCAGTGATGCTTGATTTCGGTGTTCGACTGGGAAGCGTGTGCTTACGATCTGTCTACTGCGGGACTATATATTTTTGACGCGAATGAAGTTTTTAATTAGGTAATATCTTACAGCTTAAGTTTCTTGGGATTATTTATTTAATATCAATAAAATGCTTTATGAAAATCTTCAAAATTTCAAAATCAAAAATGTAAATTAATTTTAAATTTCATTTGAAATTAATTTACATTTTTGATTTTGATTTACATTTTGAATTTTACATTTAATTTGCATTTTGAATTTTACATTTCTTGCTTTTCATTTTAAATTTCATTTGAAAAACAAGAAGTTTCTTTTATTTTTATTTCAGCCCAAAGTCAGCCACCTATCAAATTTTAACATAACTAACTTGAAAGCAAACTTGGAAGAATTTTACCTCGAAATGAATCTTACTTTACCTGCAATTTATATAGATGGCGAATATAGCGCAAATGGAAAGCTAGCAAAGATTTTTCCAGTTTATGGTAAAGGACAATTTGACATCAATGCCACAGATATACGCATGTTTGGAATCGGAAAACTCGGATTTACGACAGACACTATGGAAATGGCACTCATAAAACTTGACTTCGATTGGAAAGATATCTCAATTTATATGGAAAACTTTCTGGGTGGAGGAAATTTTGCTGAAGTACTTCAAAAAGTTTTACCTAAAATCGGGAGGGATATTTTTCATCTCTACAAACCTCTTATGATGGAAAAAGTTGAAAAATATTTAACTGAAAAAGTAAATAGCAAATTAGATGATCAAGACGTGAAGGATATTATAAGAAATATAATCCCAAAGCAATAAAGTTTTTATCAAATGAACTTTTGTATTTGTTAATCACTTGAAACACTGAAACTTAGTTTATTTTGTTAAGAACTAAAAAACCGGTTAATTTAGTTTAAACATATATTACCGTTCTCATAAAAACAGTAATTTTCTTTTCCTCGGTTTACTTTATGCTTATATAATGGGAAGCAGTATCTTTTAGAATGTTTTTCTTTTTAAAAAAAAATAATGAAATAAGGTTATTGCTATTCAATATTTATTTATTTCAATGTGGCTAAAATGTACATTTGAGCCATTTCATCATTTATTTCCACGGTTGAATAAATTTATTGATAAGTGTTTACAGATTTATAGTTTTCATTTTCGAATATTGAAGTCAGAAATTAGAAATTCAATTTTAATTTCAACTTCTGTTAAAAAATATTGCCAAAACACTACTTTAAAGTCTGTCCCGAGTGTGTAGCATCATTCCATCACAATAATATATTTTAACGATCCTAAATCACCACAGAATGAAATATATTAATGAAAACTAGTTTTTTAGTAAGAACCAAAAATCGCAGGTGATTATTAATAAGAACCAAAATAACTGGAATAATGTAAGGCCCATAATCCAGTATTCCCAACAAAAGCGTTAGAAATACCGAACAAAGAACAACGCAAGGTTAAATGCCACTATTAGGTGTACACATGCCCGGTATTTTCATTACTTATATTTTGAGTACATGAAGAACTTGAACTCGACAATTAACAAAGATGAAAAAATAATTAAGTATACAAATTAATAATTAGAAAAATGTTCCGATAACAAATTCAGTTCTTTGTAAAACCAGAAGTAATAAGTAGTTAATATGAAAAGTTCTCAGCAAAACAGTCGTATTAGCATATTTTAAAAAGCCCTAAATTTATCCAAAAATAAACAATATGTAGAAAAAATATGGAAGTAAAATAATAATATCAATAAATTTCTTTAAAAAATCATTAAATTATTGTCCTTTGTGATATTATGAGATATTTAAAACCAGGATCCTGTTCAGAATATTCAACAATAGAAATTAAAACAATTAGGCAATATTTTTATTTCTCATATTGTTGTAATACATAGTTCAGTGTGCTCATCTGTAATCTTCACTTGAGGTACTGTACGATTTTCCAAATTTCTTTCACTTCTTGATAGAGTTGATGATACTTTTACACCTGCAAATTTACCAATGATTTTAGTTTAAAAATAAAATATTCAACCTTAAGAAAAGGTTATTATTAAAAATAGTTTAATCCCTTTTTAAGGCAAAGCTAACTTTTTTTTAATTATTTTAAGCTATATATCTTTTGTTCAAACTTTTATTGCGAATTACAAAGCTCCGCCCTCGTTTTATTCATCACTTTTTAATCAATTCAGCCTATTTTTTACATCATTATAAATCATAAATATCTAGAGAAAGAAATCATTTTAATATTAAAAAAGTATTTCAAACCTCTTCACGCAGCCTCTGAAAAAACTTCAGGTGTTTAGGTTTTTTTTCTTTTTTTTAAATTTAAAGCTATGAATCTCTTATATCTTAAAAGCACAATTTAAATAAAGCAAAGTTGTAATAATAACGCTTATATTTTGTTTTAAGCATGTAAATTAGTATTATGATATTGCATCAATTACACCATACGCTTTTTGTTAACTTTCTAAAACAATCACATACATTTTTACTTGTCCTGTGTTATATCTGAAAACAGTCAAAGCAATGTTTTCTTTTATTGATTTATTTTTAACACTTTGTAACCGTGGGTAAAAGATGATTTATATTCTAACACCATACGTTAAAAACATTCTATGCTTGCGACATTTCAATAATTGCAAATAAAAAATTTCATTTAATATGATAATAAAACACCAATATCTATATCATATAGGATTGAAAATATTTTTTAAAAGGCAAGATTATAAAATGTTTATCGGAATTAAATATTTCAACATAACCTACTTATTAAGTTCAAGAAAACTTACGAGATTTTATAGCAAAGTTAAATCTTTGCATCCACTGCAGAGTTGGTTCCAGCCATCTTTCAATTTGTCGCCTTAGCTCCGTTGGTGCAGCGATTGTATATAGTAGTGGATTTAGAGCACTGTTAATTGGTAAAATGAATACAACAACACACGCATAGAGAGTATCTGTAAAGCAAAGATTAAGCATTTTAGGGAGACACTTTTTTAAGTAATCCGATAGACAGCATTCAATTTGTCGCCTTAGCTCCGTTGGTGCAGCAATTGTATATAGTAGTGGATTACTGTTAATTGGTAAACTGTTAATTGGTAAAATGAATACAACAACACACGCGTAGATAGTATCTGTAAAGCAAATATTAAGCATTTTAGAATGACACTTTTTTAAGTAATCCGATAGATAGCATTACGGAAAGGTTACATTAGAAAACCATTTTTCTCTGCTACGTATGATTTTCTTTAACTAATCTCAGATATTTTCACGCCACTGATTTCGAATCTGCAATGTTCAAGTTTCAATTTTTTAATGACATTTTCAGTCCAATTTTTGACATAATATAAAAGCTTCAAAATGTGATTCATAACAGGGGTGATACATTTATGCTGCAAACATCTAGGGGAGTGAGAGCATATCATCAGGATTAAAATTGAAATTGGAATCCATGTCATCATACGCCCCTAGGGGAGCTTTCTCAATTATGAATTTTTCTTTGTGTGCATTTCTGAAAAGGTCATAAAAGATACCGTGTACGACAACATTTCTGGGCATGGGTTCCCATGCAATTTTAATTATGATGATGTGTCCCAACTCTCCCTGCAGACTGTGGTGGCTCAAGGGATAGAGCCCTTGCCCCCCAATAAAGTGAACCGGATTCGAAACCCAGCGAGCGCTGGTCGATACGAATTCCGCACCCGTCTCGTACTGACCACAGGACATGTAAAATATCCTCAGTGGTAGACGGATCATGGGTTAGAATCCCCTTGCCATCAGGCAAACCGTGAGATGTTTTCCTGATTTTTCTCTTCATGTAACTCAAATGCGAGTTAGTTCCTTGAGAAAGTCCTCCGCGAAGGCAAATTTCTTGATCCAGGAGTTCCCTTGTCTTCTGGATTGCGTTCAAAATTACAAGACTACGGAGTTGAACATTGGCAGTCGTAAACCCGAAATTAGGTCGGCTGTTCAACGACGGTTATAAAAAATAAAATGACTCTCCTTACAGTTTGTCGCTACCTTTACGCTAACCCTTGTTACGTATAACGTTTTTGAACTTGCACATTTCTACAAAAACTGTCATTTAAAAAAATATCTGTGGCTTTAGATGTAAAACTAATTTCAGATTTGAAATCTCCACACCCGAATTAGGCAAGGTCAAGAATTTTAGCAATGCAACTAAAAAAAAAACTTCCCTCAGTATTATCTTTCATATACTCGGAAATTCTGAATTCCTCATCAATATTTAGTCCAGCGTTGGAGAATAAAGAAAGAAGGCCATTTCAGGAAGGAAAGCGTGGGCATAGATGTTATGTACTAGGGCAATATGAGACAGGTTCACTGATTAAAAAAAAATTACAATAAAGTGGTTAAAAAACAAAAGCATTTTTAATGCATCAGTGGGCACGGATAGTCTGTTTGGTATAGCATTGAGCCCATATCCAAGAGTCGTGAAATCGATTCCCACCGGCCGAAGACTCCCCGTGTAGTAAATGGTGACTGGTGCATGTTAAATCTATCGGGTCACAAAGTCCTCCATGTTCCCATAGCAAATCATACATTTGGGGGTAATGAATTGGAGATTGATCGTTCTCCTGATTTAAATCGAAATTACGGCATGTGAATGAATAAATGTATGTATGAATGAATGGACCCGCCCTATAAACGGGCTGTGACGTGTGTGTGACTGAAGTCATATTCTTGGCCATAGACGGTGTCATTGAAAAAAAGAGAGAAACGCACCTTCTCCCTTAAATTCTCTTGGTTTCACCAAGCAGGCTTGCTGGTATTAGCAAGTGGCATTAGAAACAACAACACTGCATTAATTGTACAGACTTACGCAATGTGCTCGAATTGATAAGCATTTTCTAAAATATGTATGTGACTAACAGCGAAATTGCATAGACAATCTTCTAGAATATATCTATCATTTCCCTCATGTTTGTGACGGCAACCGATACGTGAACCGATACAAGATTCATACATTGACAACAGGGGTCTTGCACACAATGTTTTTAGTTGCACCCTATACAAATAGGTCGAATAGAAATAAATCCGGGGACTGAGATGGCCAATGAACCGGTCTACTACATAGCGGCCCTTTATTTTCCTATTCCCTACTTCCCCACTAAACACTGATTCTAAATTTAGAATGACCCTTTATTTCCTCATTCCCTTTTCTCTAATTTATTTTTCGTTAATTTCATGTCTTTCGTGTTTTATGTACATAATCTATAATAAATTGACTACCTAACAGTCTAACAACTGTCTGTTTTGGGTTTAAACACAAAAGTTTTTGTAAGAAATACACTGGGGAATAAATCTTTTGTTGCCTATATACAAATACTTGATCCCGCTTAAGATGGGTGTGGGGATATTAATACCGAAATTAGTTTTGTTCCTAAAGTTGCAGATTGTTTTTAAATGACATTTTTTGACTATTTTTTTTCGAGATGTAAAATAAATATCTCTTTTTTTATTTTGGTTGAGTTTTAAAGGAAAAAATTATATCATCGAACAATAGAGTAAAGTGCAAAATCAAATTTCTGCAGAAATCCTTTAAAATAGTTAGTCCTTTAAAATAAATCCTTAAAATCCTTTAGTTTTTGTTTGTTGTACATTTTTCATTTATTTTACCTACGTTTTCGTTACCTTCGAGTTGCTAAAAGTTTCTATTATGAATCCAACTTTTCTGCAAATTCAGAATACTCCGTCGAAATTACGAAAGATTAATTTTAAAATTATTATAATTAAGTTCCTTTCTCTGATTTCATTTTTCCTCCAATAAAATAAATTTTAATACAATTGAGCAAGCTCTTAATTAATTATGATCTCTCAGGCAAAGTTCATTGCAATTGTCTTACTTTAATCAACAGATTATAAATGCAAACTATCAAACATTCAGAATAGTAATACATATAGCGTTAACTCTCGAAAATATTAGGAGGACCGGAAAGTAATGCCATTTCGTTGCATTTGATATTTGTTATCAAGATTTTATTTTCAATCAATAATATATTCACCCTTTCAATGCCGGATCGAAAATGAATCGAAAAGGGAACGAAAAAAATGAATTGGTTTTTAAGACTAACGAATATTTAATGCCCCGAAACGACATTACTTTCTGGTCCCCCTAATATTACATGTAAAATATACAATGAAGTGAAATTCATGCATATAAAAATATTTTCCAGAAATCTTTTTACACTTTACACTATAGTTTAAGGATACGAATTTTTCCTTCAAAGCTCAACTAAAAATAAAAAAGGAAATAGTGAAAAAAGATATGTTATGTCTTTATGTAATCATGTCTTTTTTAGACGCTATCAAAATATTCTTAGTTGAAAACACTGTCATGCAATACCAGTAGCTTAAGACTTCACGGCAAATATTTATTCAGTTACTCCATGTTTTTATGCCTTATAATTGAATATTTACACCTTTTTTGTTATCATAAATGATAATTTTAAGCTCATTTATCTTAAAGCTTAAATCTTCTCGCTTTCACATACTTAAATTACTATGGATATTTAATGTACGATCCATCCAATGCTTAGATATTTTTTTATTACAATGATGTTCATAAGCTAGTTTAGAGTTTTTGATCGAGGCATGGGAATTTTTAAATTAATTTTAATGGTATTACATATATATTTATACATTGCGTCACAAAATTAAGAATTTTATTCTTTATCGATATCTGCTAAAAAAATGTATTGACGTATAATATAAGTGTCCCCTAATGAATGAATGAATAAAATTAGTAACTAAAAATATTGTTTAGTTAAGAATAAAAATAATTGAAATGAAAATAATTGAATAATTGAATAAAGAATAAAAATAATTGAAGTGCCTTCATTTGCATTATTCTATACAAAAAGCTGTATTTTAATTTTTTAAAAAAAATTAAGGGCAACTTTCGATTTCAAATTTCTTGCATTATGCAAGGAGGAAAAAAATTGGTAAAATTACCGTACTTATATGGTAATAGCATTTCTAGTAAATAAAAAAATATATTTCTTCTAATAAAACTAAAATATATGACAATTGGTAATTTTTCCGTTTCAATTTTTCCGTTCAGGTGAAACTAACTAGTATTAGCATTATTTGAAGAAAAAAAAAGCACATTAACTTACCACGGTAAGCCCGTCAAAAGTTTAAAGCAAAAAGAGGCGCCTGAAATAAAAGCTATTATTTTATGTTTTAGTTCTATTGTTTAAGAGCTGTGGTAAACACGGAGAGGACTCACAGGAATACCAAAAAATTAAAATACTTAACCCGTTGACTTTTATTAAACATATTTTTCATGCTTTCTTCATTATTTTGTATTAATTTAAATCAACATAAGGGAATAATATTTTTAGCATTTTAATAATTTATGGTTATGAGATGCAGCATAAAACACCGGCGTCTTTTTCTGCGTCACAAGTAAAATCCTCCAATCACGGCTCACTGCCAAACAAATTATTATTTTTTTTTTAAATTTGCACTTATTTACAATTATTTTTATCTAAGAGAAACAGTTACTAATCATTAGAATTTCTTTAATATCCAAAATCAATAATTGATAAATTTTGAATCTGAATGAAAAAAAAATCTAACTACTTTTTTTTGGATTTTATATTTTGGCATAAATGTGATTCCGATAGTCTAATAGATTTTTTTAAGTATCTATTAGTCTATTTTATGTAATTAACAAATACCAAAATATGTTTTTGCTTGTAATTGGAGCGTCAGAAAAAAGTACATAAAAGTTACACGAATGTCGCATCTGCGTCAAAGAGTTAAAAATAAGATATATTTACTTACGTGATATGTTAATTCCTGTAAGAGCAAGCATTTTTATGACAACTATTGGTATCCAACAAAGACAATCTGTAAGAACAATGAAGAAAAAACGGATAGCAAGTATAGTATCTTCATTTTGGCTTAAGTTGACCGGTCGAGCAGAACCTCGATTATGTTTAATTAAAGAAAACATGTTTCCATACAGAATAATAATCAGCACAACCTACAGAAATGAAAATAAGTTATTAAAAAAAATTTTACGCTATGAAATGAATTACTTGTTATAATCTATATTTTTAAAAAAGATATATATTTTCTTTGAATTCATACTTAAAATTAAAAAAAGATTAACTAACGCGATGGCATGGTGATTAAGACACTGGAATGTCATTGGGAAAATTTAGGGATCGATTTCTGGTGGCAGCTTTAAAGCCCACCCAGCTTGTCTGGGAAGTTAAGGCGGCCGGTGCGCTACTCTACCAACAATGTCACCATCATGCTCCTGGTCATGATATTGTTGAGCCTTGTCTTAACCCCAATCATCCCCCTCGCCTGAAAAGGGATGTTACGGGAATGCATTGTTTTTTTTCCCTGGAAGTTAAGTGAACGATGCACTGAAAACTAATATTATCTCATTCAAATTTTTTATTCTTCAAATTTCACTTTAAATAAATTAAAATCACAAATAAACGTTATTTTATAATTGAGCAGCCAGTCACTATTTGAATCCGAGTTTTTCTGTTTTTGTTTCCTTTTTTAAGCATTTTATTCAGCAAGCTTCAAAAAATGGAATTTCGTAACATGAATTTTATATCATTAAAGCTTTTTGTGAATTTTTTACAAAATTAAAAAAAAAGAAATTATTCACAATTTTGTTTGATTATCAATTATTTATTGCTTATTAAGAATTTAGAAACCGATATTAAAGAAACCGACTGCCTAAAATGTATTTCGCTTGTTGTTTTCTTAATCACGATAAATAAAACTGCTAAATGAATAAAATACTGAATTTCAAGAGCAATTCAAATACCAGACGATGCAAAGGATGAAAATGAAAGATATTTTGTTTTTTACAAATGTCAATCCTAATATGAAAATGTTTTAAAATAATCTATTTATCTTTAGATTTTTAAAATCTAAAACGGGACAGACAGAAAGAATACTTTAGAGAAGAAAAACAAAACTATTTTCTTAATTTATATTTTTTGTAGTTTTCTTATTCTTTTCATAGCAATGACATATTGAAAATATTTATCACAAAATCCATATCATCACAAATTTTATATTCCATAATTTAACTTTTGATCGAACTTCAAATGTATATTATGTCATAATTTAAAGAATATTGATATTGTTAATTAAAATATTGATAGAATTTCAAATATATTACGTGATAATTTAAAAAATATTGATATTTTTAATTAATTTTTGATAGAATTTTAAATCTACTACGCGATAATTTAAAGAATATTGACATTGTTAATTAATTTTTGATAAATGTCAAATACATTACGTGATAATTTAAAGAATGTTAACATTGTTATTTTACTTTGATAAAATTCAAATATAAATAAATGATAATTTTAAGAGTATTAACATCGTTAATTAACTTTTGATGGAATTATAAATATATTACCTGATAATTTAAAGTATATTGACACTGCTAATTTCAAAGTACTTGACAGATACTTACAGCAGGGAAGTTAATTCCGAAGAAAACAAATGCTGAATACTGCCAACCTAACATGAATGGATCATCAATATGCAAAGGAAAACAAAGTCCATTGCTTGTGTAGAATCCTTGTTCATCATACCAGTTAAATGCTGGAAGAATTGCCAGCGTAAAACCAACTGCCCAAATGACCCCTAAAATATTACGTGCACCAGAAATAGTAATGACGCGTATGTTGCTGCGAATACATCTGTACCTATAAAACAATTTATCTATTTATTGTATTTCAATTAAAAAGTTTCAACTTTAATAGGAATTTGTGAGACTTAATAGATACATTTTTTTACTTTTTAAAATATCGAATTACAAAAATATTTACATTTCTCCTGTAATTAATATGCTTAAAGCACATTGTTTTGCTGGCATTTAATATTTTACAGAATACGCTTAAGAATTAAGCATTATTTCATATTAAAAAAATTTTCTGTGATATCCTTCAATTAAGTTCTCAAGTTTAATAACTGCAATTTTCCATTTGAATCTCATTCAGAAAAAAATTTTGTTTTTTATTATTTTTAACATTAGTTTTTTATTTAACTAAACTAGAAAATTTTGCTTGAATTTTAAAGGTTCTCATTAAAAATGTTTTATCAGGAGTGTAAATATTTTTTTAGTGCTGCCATCTAGAGCATTAAAATGTAGTGAGATATATAATTATCACCACTGCAATTGGATTTTATCTGTAGAGTGAGCTTTTTTCTTAAAACAAAGTTAAATAAAATGAAGCAAAACAAGATTGGGATTTGACATATTTGACATATATACTTTACAGGCGCCGTTCATAAACCCTTAAAATTTTCTTTGCATTTAAAAGCAAAAATTTATTTCGATTTAACGTTAGAAATTTTAAAGTACAAATTTTAAAACGATAAACTAATATCTTAAAATTACAAGAAAAATTACAAAAAAAGTTTAACTATGTAATAAACAACAATGATTTCTGTCGAATTAGACTCAACTCGCAGAAAGCGAAGACGAGCCAGAGAAAGAACGAGATCAATTCCTTAATGAAAATGTGTTAACTTAAAAAATACCTGATGTAATTCAGGAATAAATGCAATTGATTCATTCGTAGAATCAATAGAATCAGTCGTGAAAAAAATGAGATACACTTTGGAGTTGAGTTGTAATCGTGCAGAAATAGACAGTCGAAATCTCATGTACGTGAGAAATATTATTGAAATTAAACACTGCAAATACAAATGAGAAATTAAATTCACATATTTATACCACAAAAACTTTCTCTTTTTGGGCATTGATACTAAAAAAATTTAAATGGTTCGATATACTGCGGATTTGAGCTTCAATTTCATCTGAAAATGGCAATCGAAATATCATGTTTTTAGATTAAAGAAACTGAATATTAAGGTTACAAGGAACACTTTAACAATTAAATTCTTTCATTTGCTCAGGGAACCCTTCATTGTTTCGATATCAATATTTTTTGCAAGAATCGATCTTTAATATAATATGATGCACTATAGCGTTAAGCTTCACTTTTGCTTGAAAATGACAGTTAAAATCTCATGCACTAGGGAAAAATATGACTGATTTTTGACGTTAAAAGGAACGATTTAAAAATGAGTTTCCTCCATTTGCACTATGCTGCCTAGATTATTTTCTCATCACACTTTTTTTAGCTGTCCATCTTTCAATAAATTGATGCATCAATTTCAGCTGAAAGTAGCAGTTGAGATCTCATATATTAGGTGAAAACAAGGCAGAATATAAGGAACAATTTTGAAATTAATTTCGAAATTTGCTCTTCGAAATAAATATTTTTAGCTATTATAATTTAATTGTGACTCAAATTTTGGTCACATTGAAAGCAATGCTAAAGGGATGACGAAAACTTTTAACACATGGTCACCAAAATTGACTGTGCAACACTAGCTGATTTAATCTGAGTTTTTGTAATAAAAATAGTTAAATTTTTTTTCTTGTAATGGCTTGTAACATGAAATATTTCGAATTATTTAATTTTTAAATTACTTATAATATTTAGACAGGAAATTTTTGGAAAGTGATTTTACAATCCGTGCTGCTGCCATCTATGATACGCAAATGAAACTAAAACCACATATGTAGTTTTTTTTTTTTTTTTTTTTTTCTAAACAAGGAAAGTTTAAAATTGTATATAATCATATTAGGGAGGTTATAAAATTAAAATCTTAAAATGAATTCAATTATCTTATCAGTAGGAAATACAATTCTTAAACAATAGGAAATTTTTCAAAAGTTATTTCGTAATTCGTGCTGCTGCCATCTATGACCTGCAACTGAAACTAAAACCACATTCGCAGTTTTTTCTTTCTTTTTTTTTTCTTTTTTTTTACAGTGAAAGTTTAAAATTATATATAATCATATTATGGAGATTATAAAATAAAATGTTAAATTTAATTCAAGTATCTCATAATATATACCAAATATGCGCTTATTGTAATCTGTAATTACAATTCTTACAATCCCCAGATGTTAAATTTCCTTAAAACAAATTTATAATTTCGATGAAGTTAATTAATACAAATTAGGTTCTCATTGTGCATTTTCTTTCCATTGATTTGCCCTTATAACAAATAAAAATTTATTGAAATTTTACCAAAAAATAATTTTAAGTGATACTTAAAATACTAAGAATTATCAAAAATACTAAGAATTTTCAAAAATTCACCTAAGGATGAATAACAAATCCAGGCAGCTGCTTAAAAACACGATTTTTTTTTTCTCTGAACACACACTTTTTTAAGGAATTTCAATAAACTTATAGGTGAGCATGACATGTTCTTACACCTAAAAAATGAGCGTTTTCAAAATGGCCTTTAAAGTGTTCTTCTTCTCGTCATTATTTCCAAACTATTCAAACTCCCATAATTAGCTATGGGCATTCATAAAACATAAATTACTAACAAAACAGTGTACGCAATTCAAAGTCATTATTAAATGTCTTCTCATTTTCTCGGTGTTAATATAATACGTGAGTTAGTTACATTTACAACGCTTATTTATGCGTTATCTGTTACTGAGGAATAATATAAGGCAAAAAAACATTCCAAATTGTTTTTACCCTTTTAGCTGAATAAAAAGCTGATTTAAGCCTCAAAGATTGAACGTATATATAGAACACAATCATGGCATTTAAAGCATTTTACTTACCGCTCAAAGGTAATAAGAGATAAAATGAGCACAGATACTTCACTGGAACCCATTGCTACAATTCCACATGTTGTACAATGCCAACTAGACATCCAACCATGTGCATATTCATTATATTTATCTCTAAAGGATACATCTTGAGCACCAATAGCTATTAAATAAATACCCATCAACAAATCAGCAACTGAAATTATTTTAAAAGAATAATCTATGAGTATTTACAGCAAGATATATATTTATGAAACATTAAATGAAAAGCTTATTATAAAACAATGTCAAACCACAAGTAAGAGTAAGAAATAGCATTTAAACGATTTGAAAAAATATAAATTAAGAAATATGACACATAATTTTTATATTTTCGTATCTTTCAAATGCTTTAGGGGTTGGCGCCTCACTGGTTACGCGTTAAAAAAAAAAAGAAGATACGCGGTAGTTTCCTAGATAAAGTTTTTATGAAAGCAAATTTGCCTCTTTTTTGTTCCTTGATCTAGGAGAGTTCTATTTTTTTCTATTGGGAATTAAAAATTACTAGAATACTGAGTACTGCTAGGATTACTAGGATTAATCGTAACATTAAGGTTGTTTTTCAAAGTCTCAATCATATTATGAAATGACACTTTTTTGTGAATAATATGCTATTTTTATAACTGCTGCGAGTTTGCAACTGTTCTTATGACTGTTAGNCAATTTAAGAGGGATTTTCCACAAATTTTATTTCATACTATTAGACAAGATTTATTAAAAATGGCACCTGTACTGTTGGGGATCATCGCCCATAAAAATATTGTTTCTTTCGTATGTTTTCCTTCCTTATACAATCGCATTTTGGTCTATGAACGTTTATTGTAAAGTATTTTCATTTGCAATTTTATTTTATTTTATCATACAAAATAATATTTCTAGAAAACCCTTTTATCATTTTTAGCTTTCTTTTAAAAGTATAAAAACTACTTAGGAAATTTCTGGAAACTTTTTAAATTTTTATGATATTCAAATCGAATTTTTTTCAATAGTTGCCAAATACGATTCCAACAAAATTACGAAAAAAATGCATACTTTTTTTCCTCGCATGCGCAGTATAAAAGCACTAATTCAATTACTTATTTTTTGTACAGTTTTTCAACAATTTTTCTTCACATTTTAAAGCAAACATTTTGAAATAAATTTTAAATTGCTCTAAAAAATTTTAATAATTTTATTGAATATTTTTAAAGTTATAGCAAAAACAACTTTAGACAAAAAATTTGTTTTTTTTGTAAGAATGTCCGTATCTCCATAAATATTTAAGCTACTATTACGAAATTTTAAGCAATTATTGCTTATAGTAACCAAAAATTTTTACGAGTTACAAAATTATTACTACGTTTTTTTGGCATAAACTGCGCAAAAACACTCTTATCAGTTGGAGATTTATTGTCGATCCCTCAAACTTTTAAAAGCTTTATACTTCATTGATTTGTATGAGAAATCGTTCTAAGCAATTTTGAAGTTATAAAATGAACCTTTAAGTATTTCTTGACAAATTTGAAAAAATGAATTAGTATAGAAGTGTTTCCATTATTTTTTCCACCCCCCCCCTGTGTATAATTTTATATATAGTGCTACTTACATGCTAAATTCTTGATTAATAAAGAAAGGATTTCGTCTTCTTTACGTGATAAAGCACGCCAAGATAATACAACTGTATTACCAATACATGTCATTAAAGCTACAATCCAAACAGACATCCTGAGAGCTGGCCACACTAATAAATGTTCTGTCGACGAAAGACCATCCGTCTTAGGAATACAAATTCGAACGTATGGGACGTAACTACAGTACAGAAATTTTTTGAAGTATCTAAAAATAAAAAAAAAAGTTAGAGAATTATTCAAAAATAACTTTAACTTTTATTTTTAAAAAAAATTTAGCATTTTCTCCATACCGTGTCATCATGATCTTGAAAATTTTTGGCAAACTTATCAGAAACCTTAAGGGTATTATCTTTTAACTATAGGTTATAAAAAAAAAATTTCGTAATTTTAAATTTATTCCAATTTAAACCAGTTTTGTAATAAAAAAAATCAAACAATTGCAAGAGTTATTGTCGTGAAATCATTTTAAAATAATTCTCGGAAGAAGAAAAAAAGAAAGCAAGAATCCAGAACAATGGTAGCAGGCGATTACCAAAAACGTATGAATTTATTGCGAATCGATTAAGTATCTAATTCAATTTATTAATAGCTATAAATTTGTTGATGTAGTTAGTAATCGATAATATTTTAGACGTTTTATTGGTTTAAAATAAGGAGGAGTTATTTTATTAACTTAATTTAAGCATTGTTCATATAAATAAATTTTGAAAAATACGAAAAAAGCAGTAATTATGACGTCATCCTAAGGAGATAATTTATTACCTTGCAGACTAAAACAAATTTTTGTCATTATTAAATTAAGCAATAAATAGTTGCAAAATTACTTTTGTGTAAATAAATTTTATAATTTCAAGAAAAATAAGGATAAATTTTTATTTTTATTTGCTCAAATAGTTCTATAGATATAACGAAATGTTCAAAAAGTGAAACAAACTTTTAATCTGTCTCACATTTAAAGCTTAGAGATCATATCTTCAATAGTGAGTCGATCTCACAAATTGAGAAAAAGTGAGAAAACAGAATTCAATTTAAAAAAAAAGTTTTCTAGAAAAAATTATAAGAGTTTCTTGATTGTATTACTCAAATTTTAGTTTATAAAAATTAAATCATCTCAAACCATGAAGGTTATTTAATTGTATGACAAAAATTAATCAAGTCGTGAAGCATGTATGCTGCATTCATAATTTCTATTAAAAAATAAATTTAATTTTTAAATTATATCACAAATTGTATATATCGGCACAAGATTATATATTGACTCTAATGCTTTTGTATGAACAAAATGACTCATTATTTGAGCAAATGATTCCAAAAATTGTAGGTTTTTGGAATTGCATTTTAATCTTCAATTTTAAACCTTTTTTTAAACATAAAAGCAGATATTTGAGAATGCTCTTTGATTAATAACAAATTTTTCATCATGACCGAACCTAGGCTTTGAAATTATGCCCTGCAAAATTTGAAAGCCAGTTTAAGCATATTTCTTAGAACATGCATAGGTACCTTTAGAATAGAGGTCAATAGCATTAATTTTTATTTACATTTTACATTCGCAGGTAGGATAGAAATTAAATGAAATATTATGAATATACGTAACAATATTTTCTAAACGTACAGCGTGAAATTAATTACATTTTCAAATGCAGGTTAATACTTACATGAATTCTAAACTAGTCAAAGGGTAGAAAAGTTGAATATCAATATTTTTGATTTCTAAACCACGTAAATCACTACAAAATACAAGATTTATATATATAAGTAATGGTTTATTTATTTTGTCATATTCATTGATAGTTTAAGAAGATAAATAAACTTACAGTGATTTCAACAAATGTAAGCCTTTAAATGTCGTTGCTGACAGTGATTTTATCATATTAAATTCTATATTCCTATAAAAAAAAACATATTAAGCAATTACAAACAGCACAATTTTTGTCAAAGTGTGATACTACCTGGATAAATTTACGAATATGTAGTCGTTTAAAAATTCACATTTAAAAAAAAAACATCATAAATTTAGATATCATTGTAAGGTTGATTTTATTGCTTCGATATTGTTTTCAAGTATAAGCATATAAATCATACAAGCTTGACACAATATTAAATTTAACTGTGCTAGTTTGCGCGCTACGAGGTTTGCATTAATAACTCTTCTCCATCAATATTGAATCTGCCTTTACGAAACAAGGCTAAAAAAACATTCTGAAATCGAAATCGAGGATAAATCATCATTCGCAAATCAAGAGTAGAGAGCGATCTCAAACCGAGAACCACTTTCTCAAGGCTTATTTTAGATTTTAAGACCATTACTGAAACAAGGTTTATTTGCGCAGGCCTCTCTCTCTCTCTCTCTCTCTCTCTCTCTCTCTCTCTCTCTCTCTCTCTCNGGGTGGTCTGACAACGATGGCAAATTGCGTGTGTATAATCTGCAAAAAGAGGACATGATAATCTACATTTGATTCATTGTGTTTATATATATATATATATATATACACTACCAGTCAAAAGTTTAGACTCACTTGCATTTATTTCAAAATTTTCAAAAATAGTGAAATGTTTCTGACTTAAACATACAATTTATCAAACATAATCATAAACAAGCTTCTCAAAACTCTGTTTTCTGTTTTCTTTTAAAACTGTCCATTATTTTTTCATTTTGTATCTATTCTGTAGTCGATAACGAAATGAACGAAAACGCATGTAAGTACCTATTCTAAAACAAGTGTAATTTATTTAAAAAAAAATTATTAATTCTTAGTTTATAAACAATTTACTTTTCATCTTCTTTTATGGGGTTAAGTATAAGTTATGTTCATGTAAGTGACAAATTAATAAATGATGTGAATTTAACTAATTTGTTTTATAGAGTTAAGGAATCATTAGAAACTAAAATTGTTTGCGAAAAAATTGTAAAAAGTAAACAAACTTCAATTGAAATTTTTTTTAAACATGTATAAAAACTTAAAATGTTAATGAACAGTTTTTTTCTACATAAATTTTGATTTCCTCATTTTATTTTTTGGTCACCCCCAATTAAGGGCCACCCCTCATAAGGGCCAATTTTCAATGGAACGACAGGTGGCCCTTACCGAGAGGTTTCACTGTATTTCGAAAAATCCAAGATTGGACGAAATTCATAAGTTATGCATAAAATTACAGTTCTTACCATATAAGCGTACCTACATTTCTCAAAATAAAGTTAATTTAATGTAATTTTCAGTTTAAAAGAAGTCATTTTTAATTGTTATTTGTCTATTTTTAAAAATTCACGAGTGAGTCTAAACTTTTGACCAGTAGTGTGTATATATATATATATATTGAAAGGTTTTTGCATGCCTTTTTTCAATTTTTAAGGCATCTTGGCATATTAGCATTTTTATCATACTTCTACTAAGTAAAAGAGGATTTGCAGTGAAGTTACCTGCTATCTGGGAAAGGTCAATCTATTCAATAGTTATGAAATTTCAGGTAATACAAATAAGGTAGTTAATAAGATTTCAAATACCAGGTAGTTAAAAAGATTTTTCTCTCCAACACGTTATATACATTTAAAGATAGAGAATGGTAATAGTAGTTTATATCAGTAAACTATTTTCTGGGATTATTATTATTTTTCATTTTTCTTCGCACAAAAGTATATTAATATACTCGAAATATAAAGAAATTTAAGTTCAAAACAGGTTGAAATATGCAGAGAAATCAACATAAATTTTTTCATTAGATCTTGATTATTATAAATTATTTCAAGTTCATTCTATCTCTATATTATGTGAAAAAATATAGAAAATAAAAGTATTCATAATAATAGCTGTTTAAAGTAATTAATTCGAAATAAATTTAGCTATTTATCATTGATTTCTTCACTTTTTTTAATACATAGTACTTTAATATTTTCAGTGACTATTTATTCATAACATTTATAAAATACTCCTAACATAAAAAAGAATATGTTTGGGAAAAAATCGTATTTGGCATAGATGCACGAACATATAAAATAAAATTAATCACAATAATAACAATTTAAAGTAATTAATTTTAAAAAAATTTAGCAATTTATCATTGATTACTTCACTTTTTTACTCCAGAGTAGTTTAATTATTTAACAGTGATTATACCTTTATACATTTACGAAACATTCCACTTAATAAAAAGTAATATATTTGGGAAAAAAATCGCATTCAGGATATAAACAAAACTTATTTTCAATATGTTTTGCGTTATGAATAAATACATACAAAAGAATGAAAAAAAGAATAAATTATCAGAACGATATACTCACAATTTATTAAGATTCCGAAGACCAAAAAAAAGTTTCGGTTTCAGATAAGTCAGAAGATTATATGATATGTCTCTGAAAATCAGAAAAAATTTGAGAAAAAAATATTTATAAGATGCACCATTATAAATTAAATTTGATTAAAAAGTTCCCCTTAAATTATCTCTGATCACCATTATTTATTACGTTGTTCGTTATATTCTATTTATTACGTTATATTTAATATGCTATGTTATTATATTGTGTTATCTGTAATATAACATAATTTTAAAATAATATTATAAATATGTTATATAATTATGTGATATCATTATAAATATGTTACATTTTTATAAATATGTTTTAATGTTATAAAATTATTACATTGTTATAAATATGTTATATTGTTATAAACATGTAGGTGCAAAATTTGAATGTTACTATGATGTATGTAGATTCTATTGTCAAGTTCTTAAAATACCATGTAAAAGTTTTGAAAACTGTACTATGTGTATGGATATACATTGCTCACATACTGTAAGGAAAGAGTAAAATAAATTAACAGTTGGCTATGTTTTGCTTAAAATTTTTATCGAAATTGATTGTTAATTACTTAACAATTTAATTCTATGTCTAAAACATATAAATAAATGTTTTACAAGGCAAACAACTTTATTTGGTTGGCACAATACTTTATTTTTCAGTGATTGATTAAACTGAGATTTTTCTGGCAGTGCTTATTTTTAAAAACGTTTCGTATAACCTTTCAAAAAGCATTTACGACTGGGTCACTATTTTTAAAAATTGAAATTCTCTTAAAAAAATTATACCGTAAGAAGCATTACATTAGCACTTTATATCAGACGTAATTTAAGAAATGTATTTGAATTAACATCTTTATAAATTTTCAATTTTTTCATAAAATTTGCTACATAGAAAAAGTTAGCTCTTAATTATAAAAAAAATAGTTCCTTTATAAAAAGAATAATTTTTCCGAATTAGGTTATGCCATTCGACGTTGCAGTTGCGACGTTCACGTTGCAGTGTCTGAAAATTAAATTTTCTCATTTAATTATATTGAACTTGGCAATAATTTTGACATTGATTGTAAGGAAATGATTAATTTAAATTCCCAAGAACCAGTATTTTTATTTCTTCTAACGGCTAAGTTTGATAGAAGTTCTGATTGTACACTATTAGAAACTGCAAAACTCTGAAATTGATAACTATACGTACTTAAATTACGGCAATATAATGCGTGAAGTGTAGCGCAGGACGCGCTGTGATATGGAAAAACATGTTAACTTGTGCGCTCAGTTGATTAACAGGATTCGCTCACTCCTATCGAAGCATTTTAGCAAAATAATTTTAACAATTATATTAAAATAATTTGTTTACATTTTGTTTTAAAAAGAATTAATGGTATTTTTAATATAAATAGTTGAAATTGCACTTTATTCAGCTGTAATAGTTTTTTATGAAGGTTGCAAAGGGTTATTTGTTTCTAATTGTTTTGGTACAATTAGAAATAAATGTATGCCCAGCAGTAAGAATATATGCACGAAATGAAGATGACCTCGGAATTTTGGCTGCAACTCTAAAATCATAGAAGGTGTCACATAACAGTAATTCAACAAGAGAAAAAAGCTAGACTTTGAGACTGATGAAAATGCCGAAGATGAAATATTTTATAGACTAGGTATTGATTCATTATAGTTAGTCACAAAATTGTTTATATTTAAAAGGATCAGAAAACTTTATACGCAATTTACTAAAAACTATGCTTCTCTTACTTGCTGTATCTCTAACTACTGCAATTTTCAACCGATTTACTTTAAATTTTGACATAATGCTCTCAATAAATATAGTATTCCTTGAAAGTAGAACTTTTTTTAATAAGGTTGACTGGTTTTCAGTAATTCATGAAAATGTAACTTATTTCACGTCATTTTTTTAAGTTTTTTTTTTCAAAAAACACAGCCATTTTGAGAAAAATATTTAATTTTTAAAACTCCTATGGGCAATGAAAACTACATTCATGTAATTTTAAAAAAGTCAAAATGGAATTGAATTTACAAGATTATTTTAAACTTACGCGCACAGAAAATAATGGATAATTTAAAAAACAGCGTATTATATAAGCGCTAATTTTTTAAATTTTTGTATTTGTAACATATTGAAATAAAGCTTAAAATACATACAATAAAATAATAAAATGTATTTAAAGTTAAGTTTATCACAATCATTGCGAAATTCGTTAAAAATCCCTCCTTTTTCCAAGCTTCTATTGTGTTGTTCGCCTCTAAAGAAAATACACGAATAGAATAAGAAGCTCCTATAAATATATTTATTTTCCATGTTAAAATCGTTTAAACTTTTGTTATTTAATTCATTAAATCAGACAGGAATTTGCTAAAAAATTCACATCGAACTCTGTTTACTTCGTTTTCATAATATCAGTATCTCAGATTTCATGATAAACGGAACGATAAACTTAGTCACTTCCTCAAAAATTCCCCCTCATCCAAGCTTCGTGTATTTATTTTATCTCATTAATAAATTTCTTTATTTGACTTAATACATTCTTTTTAAGCATTTATCAGTTAATCAATCAATCTGGCTGTTTTACATTATTACAATCTTTATATTCTTTTTTTTAGACTAAAATTTAGTTTTTTGAGTATTTTTATTTCTAAAATTCCATAAGTAATATTATTTGTATTTATTACATGAGGTTCTAGAGTTTGAGATGTATCTATTGAAGCTAGCTCAAAATATTATATTTCCATGCTTACTTCCAACAAAAAATTTATGAAGTTAAAATTTAGTTACAAATTTATTAAATAAAAATTGAAGAACATTTTTGACAAAAACTCTTGAAACATTTTTGAAATTATTTTTTGCTGAATAATTTTGTAAGTAATTGTATCTAAGGTACCCTGTACAGGTGTTAGACAAAATAATGAAGATACTTCTACTAATTCATTTTTTCATATTTCTCAAGAAATACTTGGAGAATTATTTTAAAACTTTTGTAATCTTTAAGCCATGCAATTTCTCATACTTATCAATACAGTTTAAAGATTTCAGAGGTTTGATGGAAAGGCACTAAATTACGAACGAAAAATAATGTTTTTAAACACCCTATGTTAAAAAATTAAGTGATAAGCTCATAAATCATGCCAATTACGTTGATTATCATGGAAAATAATTGCACAAAATCTTGTAATTTTTTTTTACTTACATTTTCTTACTATACCTACAGAAATATTCCATAAAATTGAGCAAAATTTTTAGAGTAATTTTTATTTAATAATGGAGATAATATTTTAAAATTTAAAAAAAAAGTTAAAATTTGCTCAAGATATGAGTATTTAAAGTAATATTTTCATACAGCGCATCGCGAAAAACATTTAAAAAAGTTTCTTTTCATCATTTTGTTTTGAAACGTGTTTATCATGTTTGGTAACTTATATGAAGATTCCGATTTCAATATTTTAAAAATTTAAAAAGGTTTTAGTAATTTTCTAAACATTTTTGTTGATTTGAAAAAATTGGTTTGAATAATAAGGGATATTTCCCAAATTTAATTTTGTACAATTCAACAAGATTTATAAAAATGACATCGGAATTATATAGGACCACATCCTAATAAATTATGTTTTATTTCATAATACCATCACATTTTGTTGTCCTGACCATCATTTTAGGGCTATTCAAGCACACCATGAAATATGATTCAATAGAGGATACGACACCAACCAACCATCATTTGTTAAATTTTGTTTTATGATAAAAAAATTAATTTGTGTAAAATCCCTCATCATTCAGAATAACTCATAATAAAAAAAAAGTACAAAAACTACTTATGCCAATTGCGTTGATTATCATGGAAAATAATTGCGCAAAATCTCGTAAACCTAGCTAAAATATTTAAGGAAATATGGATATTTTTATAAAAAATAATTTTTTTTACTTACATTTTCTTACTATACCTACAGAAATATTCCATAAAATTAAACAAAATTTTTAGAGTAAGTTTTATTTAATAATGGAAATAATATTTTAAAATTTTAAAAAAAGTTAAAATTTGCTCAAGATATGAGTATTTAAAGTAGTATTTTCATACAGCGCTTCGCGAAAAACATTTTAAAAAGTTTCTTTTCATAATTTTGTTTTGAATCGTGTTTATCATGTTTGGTAACTTATATGAAGATTCCGATTTCAATATTTTAAAAATTTAAAAAGGTTTTAGTAATTTTCTAAACATTTTTGTTGATTTGGAAAAATTGGTTTGAATAATAAGGGATTTTCCCCAAATTTAATTTTGTACAATTCAGCAAGATTTATTAAAAATGACATCGGCATTATATAGGACCACATCCTAATAAATTATGTTTTATTTCCTAATACAATCACATTTTGTTGTCCTGACTATCATTTTAGGGTGTTATCATTTGTTAAATTTTGTTTTATGATACAAAATGAAATTTGTGTGAAATCCCTCATCATTCAGAATAACTTATAATAAAAAAAGTACAAAAACTTCTTATTTGCTAGAAACTTTTTACATTTTCAAGATATTCAAATCAGACATTTTTCATAAGTTCCCAAATACAATTCTTAACAAAATTATGATATAAATATTTTTAAGTGTTTTCCGTGCATTCGCGTTATGAAAGTATTGCTTTAAAAACTCATATCTTTCGCAATTTTTAGCGAATTTCTTTTCAAATTTTGAAATTAGATTTTTATTATTAATTAAAAATTACTCTAAAAATTTCGCTTAATTTTATTGAATATTTCTGCACTTATTGTAAGAAAACATAAATAAAGAAAAATAGTTTTTTTATAACAATTTTCCTATCTTCGTGAATATTCAAACTATCTTTACGAAATTTTATGTAGCTCCTTCATACGATAATCAACGTAATTGGCATGAGTTAAAAGCTTATCTTGAGTTAAAAACTTATCTTAGAGTTAAAAGCTTTTTTTTTTTTTTTTTTTTTTTTTTTTTGCACAGGATGTTCAAAATATTCTTTTTCGTTTTTCGTTCGCAATTTATTGCCGGGCCCTCAAACCTCTGAAATCTTTACATTTTATTTAAATGTATGAGAAATCGCATGATCTAAACACTTCAAAAGTTTCAAAGCAATTCTCGTAGTACGTCTTAACAAATATGAAGAAAAAAATCAGATAGTATAGAAGTGTTTCTATTATTTAGTCCAGCCCTATATGTGCATAGCTCATGCACACAAATAATTAGATTCCCAGTATCAGTCTCTTCTTAAGTTTCAGATACATAAATATTGCTCCATATCTATTAAATAATTAATTTGACTACAGTTATTGCGTGCTTAAACCTTAATTCATGCGGTAGTAAACTATACTGTAGTTTAATTCATGTCAAACATCCGGCAAAAAAGAGTTTTACCTTTTTAATCGTATTGACTTTTATCAAGATTTTTTGCCAGAATTATACGGTCAGATATTATTTTAAGTAGAAAGGTATTACCAATTTTTATTAATAATACTTATTAAACGCTTTACAGCATCCACACCCTTAAGCAGAGTGATGCTTTTTTTTTTGTTTTTAATTTTAACAATATATTTATGTATGTCTAGAAGGATGTATTACAAGTATTTTAGTTTGGGAAAAGCCCCTAAAATATTGCTGCGAGCTAGTATTATTTAGATATACTAGACGTTGAAAACGAAGTTACAAGTTTGTTTTATTTGTTTTTCAGTTTGACTACAACAAATTATCTATTTCTAATTCTTTTATACTCAGGTGTGTTTACTTCGAATGGAATTCGATAATCTATAAAACGCACATTTCAAAAAATTAATTTTGCAATAAATTGTTTAAATTCGGCCTAGCTTCAATTTTGAAAGTAAATAAAAACCTTACCATAAATATGTTTTGGAAAATAAAACTAGGGAGTTAAGAGATATTCCTGCCAGGTGTTTGCTGAACTTTGTTTCAGCTATAAAGTTTTTTTGCTAATCATGATTTAGGGAACCGTGATAGCTCAGGGGATAGAGACTTCGCCTTCCAAGTAGGTAAACCGGGTCCGAATCCCAGTGAAGACTGGTCGATACAAATTCCGCATCCAGCTTGTACCGACCACAGTGCTGACGTAAAATATCCTCATTGGTAGACGGATCATGGTTTAAAGTCCTCTGGCCGTCAGGTTAATTGTGAGAGGATTTCGTGGTTTTCCTCTCCATGTAACGCAAATGCGGGTTAGTTTCATTGAAAAGTCATCTGCGAAGGCAATTTCTCTCAATACTTGATCCAGGAGTTCCCTTGTCTTCTGAATCGGGTCCAAAATTACAAGGTTACAGAGTTGAACATTGATAGCCGTAAACTCAAAAATAATGTATAAATTAAATACTTAAATAAAAAAACTCACTAAAATTTCTAAATAACTGAACTAAATACTAACTTACATATTAAAATGAGAAACTTTCTAAATAATCAACCAAATATTTATTTTTTTACGATATATTAAATAAATGATCCCTAAAACAGAAAAAAATAGAACTATTTTGAAATCTCTTTTTGCAATTTTAATTCTTAGGATAATGCAAAAAAAATAGACAATATCAACAAAAGTGGTTGTCAAAAAAAAATTTTTTTTCATGAATACATATAAATAATATAATACATACAATATTTATCAGAATACATGTAACATTTATGAATACTTACAGTTCTAAGAGATTGTTTAATCTATCAAATGAAGTTTCTTCCACGAACCTCAAAACATTGTTCTTTAAACTTCTGAAAATAGCATCCCATGTTGAATTAAATGTATGCATTTATATCATTAAATTTTACATAGAAAATACCATTAAATAGTACACACAAATCAATTAGCATAAACAGAATAATAGTTATTTGTATATTTGCAAGAATTGCTTAGTTTCGAAGAAATTTCCAACACGTAAAATAAACCGTATTAAAAGATGCATTTAGTTACAAACATATGTGTTATTAATACATTGCTGTAATATATTCAATTTTAATACTTTAACAGACAAAAAAATTTCAACAAAATTCTAAAATTAGTATTTTAATGAAGTTCCAGACAAATGGTTTATGTTTTCAGTTTCTTCTATTTTGGGTAAAAGAGCTTTGCGGTTCAACGTGCAGTCAGAGTGGATATATTAAATAATCACACCGGACAAAAAATTAGTCACCCTTAGAGAAATCCTGAAAAAGATAATTTAATAACGAGTAACACCGCCTCTGGATTTGATAACCGCCTGGATTCGGTTAGGAAGTGAGCCCATAAGGTTTTGCAAGTACGTCGAATCCAGTTTAAGTCCCTCGTTGAGGATTTGATCGCTCAAATTCACCAAATTGTTAGAATGCTGATGTTGGCGTTTTACCCGTTGTTCCAACATGTCCCAGAAATTTTCAATGGGGCTCAAGTCAGGTGATTTTGCAGGCCAGCCGAGATGTAATTAAGCGTCTGAGTGTTCATAAAACCAGTCACATATACTTCCAGCCCCAGAACTTTGCTGTTGTCATCTTGAAAAATAGGGGTATCGACAACACACTCTGCATGAAGAGGGAGACTGAAAGGCAACTCCTAATTGTCCAGAACATTTAAATAAACATGTTTGATCATGTTAGTGGCCACCTCAGTGAGGGAGCCCAATCCATAATAAGGAAAACAACCCCAAGTCAGACCCACCTCCAGCTTGAACCTGAGCTTGCGCACAGTCAGGATGAAATGCTTCATCTGGTCTGCGTTGCACTCGCAGACGTGAGTCTTTTGAATAAATGCAAAAAAGTGATTCGTCAGACCATATTACATTCCGCCAGTCAGCAACTATTCACGTTCGGTGACTTCTAGCCCACTAAAGTCGCTCAACTTTATGTTCCCGTGTGAGCAATGACCTCTTACGAGATGTTCGACTCCATATGTCCATTGCATGCAGCTCCCTTCGCAATGTTTTCTCACTAACAGGCTGGGATGGATCTTCATTTAGTAATTGAAGCAATTCCTGTCCAGTTNTTTCTTAAACACGCATTTTCAGCTGTGAATATGTCCATTGCATGCAGCTCCCTCGCAATGTTTTCTCATTACCAGGCTAGGATGGATCTTCATTTAGTAATTGAAGCAATTCCTGTCCAGTTTGGAAGCGATTTTTATTGAAAAGTCATGAAACACGTCTCCGGTCACTTTCATGCAGAATCTTTTTCCGACCACAATTCTGACGGCATCTTTCGTGCCCACGTATATGACACCACTGCTTGTAGACACGTTGAACAATCAGCTTTGAAACGCCAACAAATCCAGCAACTTCATTCACCATATGACCATTGGCACGGGCAAACACAATTGCCCCTTTTTGCCACTCTATCACATCCTTACTCTTACCCATATTTATACACAATTTCCGCTTCAAACAAGAAATATCTCACTGATAGCTACTTGTCTTTGATCAGGTTGAAGCAGTTTGCATGCAGTTGAGCACGTCACTTGACCACTGCGTCATCTGACGACGCCTAAGGATTCATCAGTGCTTGCGTGCTAGGGTGACTAATTTTTTGTCCGGTGAGCTTAGTTTCATATGTCCACTCTATATCACTTTTATATATCCTTTATAAATCCATATTAAATAGTTTTATAAAACATATGAAATATTTGCCACTCAAAATCCCAATATTGTCATTTCATAGTTAGCAATAATTTTTTTAAACGAATGTTGCCAGGTGCAAATAAAATGTTATAAATATATACAATCACTTAATTGGCCATTAAAATAGTTTAAACCGATGAAGGTTAATGATGGTCTGTAAAACTGTAATGTACAGTTCTCAAAATGAAAAACGGACCACCCTGAATAAATTTGGAACTAATAATCGGATCTTTACGTTCTTGGAATCAATCTTAATTGTCCGAGGGTGTGAATTGAAATATGCTAATTAATTAGTACAGATGATATTTCAAGTTACGAAAAAGTACACAAAAACTCACTTTCATTGAATAAAGATACATTCTTTTGTATGAATTCGGATTTCTGACTCCAAAATACAGGAGTAGCAGCAATCTGGTAAATATGATCACAATAGTTTGGTCAGAAGAGATGTCTAAAGTTTGGACAACTTAATGTCAATTTAACTCTTTGCGTATTTCTCCATATCTCGAGAACTTTTGATGCGAATTAAAAGAATTTGCATAAAGTTAAAAAATTCGTTTACCCGAAGGTAATTCCTTTCCAAAAATTAGTAAGTACTATTTTTTATTATTTAGTAAGTGCTATTTTTCATTATTTTATTTAATAATAACCGAAATTTTTTTTTGAATTTTAAGGTATGCAATTTTTTATATAATTATAAGGAAAGTAATTTCATATGGTAAAATACAAAACTTGAGCAAGTCGGTCGATTAATTCCTGAGAAATCGATTTCTAAAAAAGTCGTATTGGAATTAGTCAACCGATTTTGCTCAAATTTTGTATTTTGCCCTGTTATATTACATTATTTGGAATAATGCAAAAATTATTAACTTATTCAAAAATGTTTCCATTGTTATTAAATGAAATAATAAAACTAATAAATTCTTACTCAAAGTTGTTTTTTTGCATGGAAATATCGTTGGAGAAACGAATTTTATAATTGTGTGCAAAAATGCTTGAATTTGTTTAAAAAGTTATGGCAAAATACCAAAAAAGTAAAATTAACATTACGGGGTTCAAACTTTAGACCACTCTCCTAATCAAACTATTGGGACCATATTTCGCAGATTGTATATTTTGGGGGTTTGAAATCGGAATCCATTGAAAAAAAGTATGTTTATTCAAAGAAAGGGCGTTTTCGTGTCTGATTTCGTAACTTAAAATATCGTTTGCGCTAATTAATGAGCATATTTGACGTCACCCCTTCAAACTATTAGGATAAAGACCAAAAAAGTAAGAATCTGAGCATTAGATCAAAAGATATTCAGGGTGGGCCATTTTCCATTTGCCACTCTGCGCATTCACAGAAATCATAACAACCATAAATTACTTTCAAATACCAACCGTACTCTTTGAGTTAATTTAGAAAAATAATTACAGGCTAACAGAATATGGTAAAATTTACTGTGTTTCTGGCTCTATGGAAACACCAAAAAGCACGGTAATTTTTTTTCCAAAGCGCTTTGGTAATGCTTTTGGTAAAACTAACAATAAAATACCGCTTTATAATAAGAGCTAGAATTTGGGTACTGTAGTAAAATTCAGTAATTTTAAAGCATGACATAAAAACCATTTATTCGGTTAAATTTTATTCTTCATATTATATATATTTAAGCACTTCATGTTTTTGTTTCATTACCTGAATCAAGCTTTTCCTACCAGAAATGTCTTTACCATGCCGTACGGTAATTTTACCAGATTTTTTTTGATCATTAGAAAAATAATTGAAACTCAAATTTCTGAAGCAAATTAATAAACTTCATTCATTTGGTTATTTATTTCAGACATTGCGCATATCATTTCATTTAGAAAATATATAAAGAAAATTACAACAAAAGTAATAAATATACTGAAAAATAGACGAAAATCGCTTACAAAACTTCCAGTGAAACCAAGTTCTGAAACGTCGAACCTCCAATTCTCTCTAGATTATTTCTTTCTATTGAACTAAAGGAAAATAACAAAAAAATAATAAAACAGGGTAATTAAAAAAACGAATGAAAATATTCGGCATTCAATTACAATTTAAAAAATTTAGTTTTTGACGAATCAACGAATAACCGACGAGTGTTTCATTGAAATATCAAATTAAATTAAATATTTCTTTCCCATTAATACAAGAGAACTGGCATGATTTAAATTGCAACCGTTTTAATCTGATTGAAATCAAAAGGTGAAGACTTTGAAATATAATAAAAAGAATAATATCTATGAATTAGATTTACAACAGAGTACTCTGTGAAGTTTATGGAAAATTTTCTGAAATAATCAACTAATCAGGGGAAATAATTTTATCAATTCGTCAGTGGGACTTTTGATCTGGAAATGTGTGTTTAAGAAAATGTACACATGTGGAAATGTATACGTAAGAAAATGGACACAGCTTGAAATGCATGCTTAAAAAAATTGAGACAGTTAGTCCAAAATGCGTATTTAAAAAAAATGGACGCATCACAAAGAGTGTTAATTTTTAAAAAATATGCAACAGCATTTGCTTTCATTTTTCAAACTTCTCTTCTAATTTTTCTTTTTTTAAATAATAAACTTTCGAATCCAAATTAATTAGTTACGTAATTTGTCCATTTTCCTAAATAATTTAGTATATTTTTCTTTTAAATTAGTCTTTAGTGAAATGGTATTAAAATCTGGCAGTTCCTTTTACAAGTTTGTCAAGTGTCCTATAAATTTATAATAGTGGCATTAAATAAACGTTGTTCAAATATATATATCATTAAACCATTTAATGGATTAGTGTTCTGCGAAGGAATGTTTGAAAAATTACAACTGTAATACACCCTGTCAACCCGATCCCAGCATTGCTTATGCTTAGTGTTTCAAAAGATTAAGAAAAGTTTAACTGTTAAATTTGTGTTGAAGATTGGAAGAACGCAATTTTTGCTGCGTCCATTTTCTTAAACACGCATTTTCAGCTGTGACTATTTTCTTAAAAGCGCATTTCGATCTGTATCCATTTTCTTAAACAGGCACTTCCAGCTGTGTCCTTTTTCTTAAACTCGCATTTCCAGCTCTGTATTTTTTTCTTAAACATGCATGTCTATTTTCTTGAGCACGCATTTTCGGCTGTGACCAGAATAAAAATTCATTAGAAAAAATTGATGAAAGCTAGAAAAATTTTATAAATTTTTTTTCTTTTCCCCATCTATACAATATTCCATCCCTCATTGTATTGTTGTTAAACAATGAGTTTTGAGTAGAAATTTCCCTTTGAACATTTTTGCAAGGAGTTTTCTCCTGGGAGAGCAAAGCTCTTAGGAAATTCAATATAAGTAGAAAACGTTGCACTTGCTTAAAATTAGAATTTTGGAGTTATTGAATTAAAACTATGAAACTTTTTTATGAAAAACTATACAAGTTTTATTTTTACTTGTGACTAATTTTTCTAGTGATTAATTTCCCTAATTAATTATCTAACGATTCGCTTATTTGATTATCGAAACCAGTTAGGATTACGATTTGTCCAGATAATTGGGGTTTTACTGTGATACATAAAAATGCTCAATTCTCTGGTTTTTCAGGAAAAATGATGAAACAAAACTATTAGTATATTAGAAAATAAAATCTTATTTTACCATAGTTTAAGAAATTTTTAAAAAAAAATAATTTGGTCAAACCATAGCAAACAATCAAAATCTCACATTAATGAGTCAGCAACATATTTTATAACCAACTATTGACCTCGATTTTATCTTTAATCAAAAAATATAAAATTTATGGATTACAATTTCGCAGGAAAACACATATAATATAAAAAAGGATACATTATTTTTTTCACAGCGAAAGTACTTTTAATATCGTGAAATTCATACTCAATGGTAAGTTGATAACTGCAAAACTTTGCATTATAAATTTAACTACATTATTCTGAGAATCTTTGAATTTTACGAACGCAAAAAAAAAACTTTACAGCAAAATTGAATTCAATTTACATAGAATGTTAATATTAAACATTAAAATTTCAAAAATGTTAAACTTACAGGTAATAAAGCTTTCTCAAAGGTGGGAAAACGTCCAACTTTTTAAGTCTGTTGTCATTTAAATCCCTGAAATGAAAATAGACTGAATATAAAAAGGATATTCTTAATTTATTAATTACATGAAAGCTTTAAAATTTTTAATAATATAATATATGGAAGACACAAATGAAAAGTGGACACGTGTTATATGGAAGTGTTCTAAGAAAGTGTTATCCTCATTCAGTGCTATAAAGAATAGTAGAAGGAATGCACAGAAAATTGCATAAAACTGATTCACTGATTCACCTGAAAGCATCAGGAAGTGAATGTAAAGTTGTAAAAAATATGAATGCCTCCAAGACAAAACTAAACGCAGTAGTATAATTTATAGTGTTCAAAGGAAAGCGAAATTTGTATATTTATTGTTAAAATGGTAATTGTTTATTTCGAGCTCTGTCAGTTGTTCACCAACATTAGTGGTTATTAAAAAAGGATGATTTAAAAATAAGAAAAAAGTTATTTAAAAATATTGGATTGTTAAATTTAAAATTAAATTTTTTAAAGTTAGCAATTTTTATAAAAATTTATTAGTTTTTTTAATTAAAATAATTAAAAAAAATAAAAAATAAAATAAAGGAGTTTTTTTTTTATCAGAATTGTTACAGAATGCTAAAATAACATTTTCAAAGATTGATAAAAGTTATTTTCAAAAACGAAGTAGTTTAAACTGGTTTTTCCCAAACCAATTGCATAGTACGTAAAGGAATAAATCTGAAACAACTTAAAAAGAACACAAATAATTTTTTATATTTGTGTTCTTTTCGGTAATGAAAGGTAAATTTAAATTCATGCACAGTGCAGAAAAAAATATGGTCTCAATAGATTGGTCAGCAACGCGGTTGAAAGTTTAAAGCCTTTAATAATAATTTAACTTTTTGCGTATTTTACCATGTCTCGAGAATTTTTTAAACGAATTGGAAAATTTTTGCCCGAAATTATAAAATTTGTTTATTTATAGATAATCCCACGATAAAAAAAATTTTTAATAATTATTTATTATTTTTCCTTATTTTTTAATTTAATAACACTTGAAAGATTTTGAATTGCAAAGTATACAAATTTTTTCAATTAAAAGAATGTTATTTTATGTGGCAAAATTAAAAATATAAGAACAAAATCGATCGAATAGTTCTAGAGAATGGAATTTTAAATGTCTGATTTGCCCTCTATTAGGAGGAAATCGCAATTCAAAGTATTTTCAATGAAGTTTGAGCCATTACATTTCGATAATTGCAACTTTGAACTCATCCTATATAATGGAGCAATTTTTAATTTGAAATACAAATTAAAAGAAGTAATTTGGAAAGGCGATAGAAATTACGAACAAGTTACCGCAATATCTGTTTTAATTATTAATTTATTTTTATTTTATTTTACTTCTCTATAATTCTCTATGTCATCCTGTGTTTTGTATACTGAAGCGAATGCTTAATTATGAAACGAAACTGTATCGTAGCATCAAATGTATGTTTATTTAACATTAATTTTGTTAATTTTTTAAGTTATTTTATCTTTCGTCATATGCAAAGTTAATCCTTTCTTTATTTTTATATGTAAAGGTAAGTATGATGTACTATTAAAAATAATTTTATAATGCTAAAAACGTTTTTTTAACATTGAGAGCAATTTTAAATATCTGTCATTACTTTTTTTGTCATTGAAAATACAAATACCTTAGACACCAAAGAGTACCGGACTGGACTTAAGAGTAACAAATAAAATTTTAATTTTATATTTCTATCTGTTTTTAAATCATTCTAATGTTATATGTCAAAATTTTGATTTTAGAATATAAAATTTTATTGAAAATAATTAACATTACTTACAAAACTTCAAGGTACATCAGATCTGAAAAAACGTTCATATCTAATAACTCAAGAGAGTTACTCTGCAAGAACCTGAAGAAAATTACAACAAACTTAAATGTTAAAGTACACACTACCTTTTATTATTTCAAATTGAAAAAAGAACTACTTACAACCATCTAAGATTCACTAAACCACTAAAAGCTCCAAGTTGAATATATTTAATCTGGTTCCTCATAAGAACTCTGTAATTACATTAAGATAATACAATATAAATGCATATATAGAGAAGTGGTGTCTACATACAGTAAAGTGGCTGTGTGCTGTGCTGCAGAAAGAGATCGATTAATGCGACTCCTAGTATAACGTTTCAGAGAAAATCTTTTTATCGGTTAAACGTTAGTAAAAAAGTGAATAACAAAATTATAGATCATCTGCAATATACACGAAGAAAAAAATTCGAAGAAAATTACCGTTCTGTTCTTATTATAAATCTTATTATCATACCTTTAGCAAAAAATACAACGCTGAAAAATAAATTTAACCAAATAAATGGTATTTTGCGATGCTTTATAAGGTATCATGATAAAATTAACAAATTTAACTACATTTACCAAATTTTATTACATATTATAAAACTATATTTTATTGCTACTTTTACCAAAATCGCTACTGAAGTGCTTCGACAAAAATTACAGAGCTTTTTCTTGCTCCCAAAGAGCTAGAAATACGTTAATTTTTACTACATTCTGGTAGTTTTGTCCATGCTTTTTTTCTGTTTAGTCCGAAAAGCCAGCCAGATAGCTGAGCGATTAGCGTACCTGACTGCGATTCAAATGGCTACGGGTTCGAATCTTGCTCAGTGCAAGGATATTTCTCTCTGCGTGTTGTCCTTTGTTTTGCGAATGTGGCCCACCCTAAGAAAGAGTATGTGTGGCATTGTGGCGTGGGTAATGCTGCTCGCTTCCATGACTTTGGTCGCAAGGTGCGTAGGCATCGGCGAAATGAGCAACACTTCTGGCATCTTCCATGACGAAGAACGATAAGTTAATAAATGCCTGCCATAAAACAATAAAAAAAACTTAACCAGAATAGACATTTTGTAGATATTAATACCAAGAAAAAAAAGGAGAAAACACAGAGGCGAAATTAAACGATCTTAGGAAGAAGAAGAAAAAAAAAACACTCTACAACTAAAAAGTTTTTTTCTTTCCGATTTTCATGCATCTCTTAAGCTTTGCACACAAAAAATAAAGATTTGTTGTGATAGTTAAGCATTTTTTTTCCTTTTAAAATTCTTTCATCACGTCATAAAGTAGAAGATCGCGAACTAACAAATGGGCGTTTTACGCGTTCTCTTCTTAGCATCAAAGTACATAAGGTACATTTTTATCCTATTTTGTGACATTTTTGAGATGCCACAGCTCTTTACTAAGTAGCGCTGTAATTGATCTCATCTTGTAGCACATAGCCACTTTACAATACATGACACAAGTTTTGTAACTATAGCTGAAGCCGTTAGAAAGTTGAGAAGGTGTATACAGACTTTAGTGGAAATCCTGAAAAAATTCGATGAAAAGTAAATATTATACAGCCATGCAGTAAACAAACATTAAAAATAATGAATAATATTTTATGAACTTTCCTCAAAACGAAAATAAAAAATTCGCAAAGTTAAAAATAATAGATAGATTATTTAAATAAATATACTTTGCATAGGAATGCATTTTTATTAGCAATTTAATGTTAAATTTACGTTAACTTGATTTAACTAAAAACAATTGGACAAATTGAGATGATTAAGAATTTTCTCCATTTATCAGTTATATTCCTTTTTTATTCTATAATTGTAATACAATACTGAATTTTAATGTAACAAACATTGCATTTAAAATTTATTATTTTATATAAGAGATTTGTGGTAAAGTAAGAATTAAATTATTGATTCATTTAAGTTAATTGCAAAATTTATTGATAAATCTCGTATATTTTAACATGGTATTTAGTTGTAAATAATAAATGTAAAATAATAAGCTGAAAAAGAATCTATTTTTTTCCTACTTTTAAGATTAAATATGAGTTATAAAAGGGAAAAACAAACTAAGAACTGAAAGAAAAAAAAAGCGTTGGAGAGTGTATTTTTTTAAAATATCATAAATAAATTAAGTTTTATTTTGGAGAAAAAACGTTCTTCTAGAATACTTGTCTCTGATATTAATAGTTGTTTCATTTTTGCGAGTCACCTAAAAGTTTATTTTATCTTTTAGGCGAATCAATTATTTGCATTTTTCACAAATCAAATGCACTGGCAGAAACGTTTCCTCAAAATCGTACAAAAGACTACAAGAATTTCAAATAATTTAGAAAATGGACTAAAATCATTCCTCCCCGTTTAGCCTAAATGTTTAGCACCCAAAGTACCGTGAATTATATATTTTACGTTCCCAAATATACGAGAACTATTGACAACTGAAATATCTTAATTAATATCGGTATTGATAAAAATTGAATGCAATATAATATCGCGAATATTATAACATCTATATTATAGTAGGGATAGCAATAAATGACTAGTACTATAATATCATCATTATTTAATACAATAAGAAAACGCCGATTTTCCATTACGAAAAATAACGAAAAGCTTAGTATCATGATTAATGCAAGCTGTGATAGATATCGAGTACGATAATATTGTGAGTATTATCGATGATTAATTCGATCGATAATTAATTGTATCATAGTGATACCAATATCGAATGTAATATCACAGTGCTCATCATCGACAATGATAAATATATACTCTGATGATACAGTAAATATTACGATAACTATAATTATCAAATTACACATTCTCATGATTGTGGATAAATTTCATTTGGGTAGCAAAAATATTGATTAATGTAAGTTAGATAATAAATAGGAAAATGTCGCAAATAAGACGTAAAAATAAATATTTTCAGTATATGTATCACGATATTAAAATTTGTATGGCCCCCAGTACTCCTTCATATTTATTCAACTCAAAATTCTTCTTTTTCTCATAGTTGAATGCATATTATGAATAAAATTCGCAAAACTTTTCGATATTTTTTTAATGAAAATGAACACGAGCCTTTAATTAAGATTAGCAAAAGTATTTAGGAAGTCTATACGGCACCTTTTGTTTGCTATTAATTGCTATCATAAATTGTCTGTTAACTATCATTTAACGAGGAAAATCGAAGGAAACATTTAGAGGATAAAAGAGAAGAAAATTAGAAATGTTGAAATTTGACTGAAATAAAATTAAATTCATACTTACAAAACAGTTACGTTGGTAAGACGAAGAAACAGTCCTGAATTTAGAATAGGGATATTATTTCCTTCTATATGGCTGTCATAACAAAGGAAGAAAAATGGATTTAATTATTTCACTCAAAAACTCTTTAAGTCAAAAATAAATAACTAAGCTTTTTTTGAAATATTAGAAAATATTCATAATATGAAAAAAATGAAATACCAACATTAAAATTTATTTCCATTTATCTATTTTTCCTGAAAAGTTTGAGATCCAGCATTATATAAAATACCTAGGCATGGTATAAAATGTCGGAAACTAGCCAGCAATGTATCAAACGATTCATATTTTACATATTTCCTAGACATTCTACAGAATGTCTAGGAACATAGATTCGAAACAACTTAAAAGGCTACAAATGATATTTATATCATGATACTCAGTTTTTCTTAGCTCTATTTAGTCAGTAAATGATGTATTAATCTTAACAAACTATGACAGTTTTACATGTGATGACAAAAGACTGTAATGAGCGAATCTAATGTTAAAATAGGATTTATTTAGCCTAAAAGTCCACTAAAAACGTCTGGTGGGACATATCGCTGGTTCAAAATTAAAACGACACTTCTGCATGCACTTCTCATTGAAATAACATGAGAAGTGAGTGAGAAGTGTCGTTTTAGTTTTGAACCAGCGATATATGTCCCGCAAAGTTAAAAAAAATATAATAAACGACCTTTATCCAAAATTTTATTCTCTTCTCTTTAACAGTATAAACAAAACGGTATATGGACATTAGGTTACATGCTGGAAAAGCTTTTTTGCCCTGTATTTCAAAAAAGCCATGATGAAAATTATTTATGTTTTTTTCTTACATTATTTTCAGCCCTATATACATAGAAAATGCTTCTCTAGATAAATGCTGTAAAGAACTGTTCATCAAAACACTGAAATAGAAGAAAAAAAAGTAAGAAAACAAGAAAGAAATTATTTTAAAATAAATTATTCACAGTAACAATACGTGTTTCAGTTTTTTCTAAAACGCAGGCTATTATACAAAATTTTAAATGTTTACTGGATCTTTGCATGTAAATTTGGTTTATTGAATCGATTTAAAAGGATCAATCGGTTTTGTGTTAATAATATTATTTTTATTTAAGAAAAAACTTCAATAAATTGTGCAGCTGCATCCCATTGAAATATAAAAACAAACTGCAGGAGTCATCTTCCTAAAGAAGCCATTTTAATCATTTATTTATTCAAAAATGAAAATGAGAGTAGTAAAAATAAATATGATAATAAAATAAATTACTTTAAATAACTTTCACCATATAACATCATTTTTGAATTTGTTCAGCTTGTTAAGAAGTGTTTTGCAGCAAAAATTTATCATGATATTTAATTAAAATTAATATTTTCAATTATTTACTCATATAGTACAGTTTATTTTCTTATTATACTAATACTTCTTTTTTACTTTATTTAATGTCTTTAAAAGTATCCCATTGGGTCATTTCGAGAAATATGAATATCGTCGTTTTAGTAAACGAACAAATATTCTGGACCACTTTAAAGTTTTTTTTGTGATGAAATAAAGCATTTTCACCCTGAGAAAAAAAGTATGAGAAGAAATAACTGAAAATGGTAACATTTACCGTGTTTCTGGCTCTATGGGAACACCAAAAATCTCTTTAATATTTGCCAAAGCATTCGGCTAAAATTAGGAATAAAATATGGTTTTATAATCGGTGCTAAAATTTCGTAAATGTGGTAAAACTTGGTAATTTTGTCATAATACCTTAGAGCATGGCATAAAAACCTTTTTTTTTCCGTTTAATTTGGCTTTCAGTTGTATATTTTTAGTAAATGTGTGGGAATTTTGAAAACCAGAATTTCAGGTAAACCGTTACCATTTATACGCGAAAATTATCAAATGAATATTTTAAATACTGTGTATTTTGCTGTTATTAGTATCATCTATAAATCTAATATTATATAAGGTTTACTAAGCTTATATATGCTTCACCGTATATTTGGCTTTATTATATATTAATATATTATTGGTTTCTTTCAATAGAAATTTTATACATTAATTTCGCCATTTACGGATTTCACCAAAATTTTTTTCTCCATGTACAAACTTTGCATGTCTACTTAGTTGAAACGTTTTCGTTTGAGCGCGTTTTCGCTTTAAGGTTTATTTTTATGATGCATGAGTTTAAAACAATAAACAGTTTCAATGATTTTCACTTTTTTCTCTATTTAAATGTATTTACGATATTTTTTTAAAAATATTAGCAAACAATAATTATCTAAAAACAGCTGTTCGGTGGATATTTTTAAAAAAATTGATTGTTGCTTTGTTCAGATTAACCTCGATAATAATTCTTCAACATTTGTAATCGTTTGCTTTTTTCTTGTTTGCACCCATAGTGAAGAGGTTTTTTCAAGAGATTTTTTTAAGAAAGATTGATTTTTAATAAAACTTCTGAAAAATATGTTTGTTAAAGGTGATCGTTTCAGAACGCCAAGATAGACTATCATATTGATTTAAAATACTTTTTAGTCATTATACCAGATATGATAGCTTTCTCCGATTTGTGGACAAACTTTCTATACTCTTAGAATATGTTATGTTTAAATACATGGTTCCTGGCATAGTAATTAATTTTGTCTATCACTAGTTATAAATATCTCAAAAGGTCATATAAAACGATCCGATTTTAATTATTCCGTGGCGTTTTCTAAAGTCACCAAACTTCTGCAAGTTTTAGTTTTAGATTCTCTAACACTTTATAAAATCTTTCATGGAAAATGGAGCAATTGGCACCCAAAATAGTTTCAAATGTTCTACTTGCTATAAAAGTTTAAGAAAATTATTTTCAAAAGATTAAACCAATAATTCCCCACAGTTTTGTGACGTGTTTTCCAATGCCTCGTGGAAGAGATGTTAAATTCTTGCTACCACAATAAAGTGAAGTAAACTGTATGCATTCACAGTAGTCCGGAATATAATCAAGACCTAAAAAATACAAATATATTTTAAATAATACAATACATAAAAAGTGCATGCCTAAAAACACGAGACATATCATACACATTTTGTATGTGCAAAAATGTCAAACTATTCAGACAAAGGAAATGCATGTATAATTTAAACTGATAGAGCAGTCAAATATTTTTTTCAAAAATTATCAATGCTTTAAATTTTAAAGTGGTTTTTTTGTTGTTAATGTATAATTATGTGCGAAGTTTCGTAAAATTGTTTTGAGTTTTATAACATTTAAAAATCGGGTTTTTTTTTTAGTGCTCTTTCATTATAGACGTCTCGATTTTTATCGAAATGACAATATTCTTTTAAAATATTAAATTATGAAATACAAAAAAAAAATTGCGGGAGTTTTTTTTATTTGATATTTAACAAATAAAACTGAAAAAATCAAGTTTATTTTCAAAAAGCAATCATTCTATCATTCAAAATCAGCAGAACGTTCAAGACATTCTTAAATAAATATAAGGTTAAATTTGTAGCATAATTGAATAAAGACTCATTTCATTAGACTAGTATGAAAAGCGTGAATGTATCAAAAATGGCAATATGGTCAATTTGACAAAAATTGCAAGTCGAAATTTCCAGTTCATTACTAAAACCTCGATTTTAGGAGAAATTTTAAGCGAGAAGGAAACTTATTTTCCTTTTCGCTTAAAATAAAAAATAATTCCTTGGATAGGATAAAATTTACGTAAACTCAGAAAAATTGTTTCTATTCAAGACGAAATTTTGAATCATCTTAATTTTATTACTTACTGCAATTATCGAAAGAACCATCCAATATAGCATCTTGCAATTCTGGATATTGTTTCATTCCTTTAAGTAAGGAATTGAGACTTCCATGTGCATCAGCTGTAACATACAATTTCAGTGAAACAAAAATATTTTACTTTCAGTTTAACTTAATCAAATAATTTTAAACGAAAATTTGGCTGAATAGAAAATGCATCCATTTATATTTTTATTCCAGGATACATTTGTGAAACTCATTTAAAAGTGCACAGATCCTTTTGATTTCTTTAATTTTTTTTTGTGTGCTATTGAGCAATTGTACGAAATACAGCCACATATCTTCTGCAAGGTATTAAGACATGAAGTTAAAAAAATATTTTAAAAGTTTATTTTTAAATTTAGTTATCTGTAACATACAATTTAAGGGACATAAAAAACTTCCCAACTTATTCAAACAAATAAAAATATAAATTTGGTTGAACAGAAAATGCGCCCATTTTTATCTTATTCCCGGGCGCATTTGCGAAATTCAATTAAAGGCACATAGACACTTTTAATTCTTTTTATTTATTTATTTGTGTGTCATGGAACTATTGAACAAATACATCCACACATCTTTTGTATGGTATTAAAAAATGAAGTTAAGAAATTTTAAAAAACTGTTTGTTAAAATTTAGTTGCCTGTAACATACAACTCACCTGTAACATACAATTTCAGTGAAATAAAAATAATTAATTTTCATTCCAATTTAATCAAGAAAATACAAACATAAATTTAATTAGATAGAAAATGTACCCATTTATATCTTACTCCTGAGCACATTCTTGAAAATCATTTAAATGTGCATAAATTCTTTTGATTATTTTTCATTTATTTTTTGTGTGCTATTGAGCTAAAGTACATAATGTATTCACATATCTTCTGCGAGCAATTAAAAAAAATGAATTCAAAAAATTTTAAAAAATCATTTTTCTAAATGTAGTTTAGCTGTAGCATACAATTTCAGTGAAATAAAAAATATTTCCTTTTCATTTCAATTTAATCAAAACATTTCATTTTCATTTCAATTTAACAAAATCCAACAAATATAAATTTGGTTGAATAAAAAATGCGCTTATTTTTATCTTATTCCCGGGCACATTTTTGAAAATCATTTAAAAGTGCAGAGATCCTTTTGATTTTTTTTATTCATTTTTTACTTGCTATTGAGCCATAATACAATATGAGTTCACAAATCTTTTGTGAGGATTTAAAAAAAAAAATTTAAAACTGCATTTTAAACTTAGGTTAACTTTAACATACAGATGTAACATAAAATTTCGGTAAAATGAAAATATTTCATTTTCCTTTCAAACTATGAAAATACAAGCATAAATTTCGTGGGATAGAAAATGTACCCATTTATATTTTAATCCCGGGAACATTTTTGAGAATCATTTAAAAATGCATAGATTCTTTTTATTTTATTTTATTTATCATTTTGTGTGCTGTTGAACTATGGTGCAAAATGCGTTCACAAATCTTTTGCGAGGAATTTTAAAAAAAAAAGAAATTAAACTATTTTAAAAAATTGTATGTCGAAATTTAGTATGAGTGAAAATATTATTAAAACAAAAATTTTTGATTTATCTTTCTCAAAAGTATTAAAACTTGAATTTATCTTTAATATTTTCTGTTAAGACATAAAAAACAATAGCGTATTTTTTTTTGTAAAATTTTTATAATGCATCAAAAATACAGCAAAAATTTCAATTTCTTAAATGAACTACAAACTGTTTACGAAATTATCTTTCCTAGTTTGTAATACCCCTCATGAGATAATATTGGAATTCAAAAAACTTCCGGAATTATAACTGCTGTTTAAGATAATTCACAAATATGAAAAGTAACATAACATGTGAAGGCATAAAAACAGGATGCAACTCGTTTACCTACAGCAATTTTTATTTTTTTCTCCAAAAAAAGGTATAAAAAACTTATCAGCACAAGACGTAAACTATTTCTTACATCATCTAAAAATAGGACATGAATAAAAAAATATTAAATAGCTTCTATATTTAAACCAGTTTTAATTAATTTAAACTAATATAGACTGATAAAAGATGACATTGAGACAGAATTTATTAAAAAATTTCATTTGACAGCTATTTTGAATTTTATCTAAATGAATGGAATTCGAATTCGATAAGATACATTGTATATAAAACAATAAAGTTAGGCAGAGGACTTAATTAAGAGTTATTTTGACTCTGAATAAAAGCAACCTTGAGAGTAATTATTAAACATATTATATTTCTTTCTAATAATACTTTTAAATGATTACAACAATCTTATATGAATTTATTAATATCCAGAAAAGTTTCTAAACGTATGAAGAAAAATTTTACATTAATTAAAAGTGATTTTCAAAGGTTTCTTTTACTATATATAAATTCACACAGCCATGATTCATATCATACTCAGGAACTTCCTTGAGAATTAAACTGTTTTCTCCAAAAATGAACTCTAACCTCATTTTATTGGTTATTGTTGCCATTGGGGCATGGTGTGAAGCTAAACCACAATTGCTAACAGGTTTACGTAAGATTAGATCTCATGGATGTGGAGAACATCCTCTGGTTGCAATTTATAACGAAATTGGTAAGTATTGATATAGATTTTAGTTTATAATTGAAGAATTAAGTGGATGAAAAATCTAAGTAACATTTTTGAGAATTTAAGTAAATTAAATTTAAAATTGAAACGTTCACAATAGAAAATGAAGATTATGCCTTGGTCTTATTTCTTGGCTGTAAGCTTCCAATTGACAAAATGTATATATCTCTAAGAGACCTATACTCTCATCATCTTAGATTCTAGGTTAAATTTTCAATTTGTGTTTTCTCGATGATTTTTTTTATAGTTGACTAACTTTAAGTGATAGAGTATTGTTAGAAAGAGCAATATATTTCAAAAAAGGTAGACAATATTAGGGTCGCCTTATTATATTAGGTGAAATAGCACTTAGTAATTTAACTTCATTTTACTGGTTATTACTGCTATTGGGGCAATAGTGGGAAGCGAAATCTTAACCGTTAGAAGGTTTGCGAGAGGCTAGATCCTATGGTTGTTAACAACATCCTTTGGTAGCAATTTATGAGGAAGTAGGTACGTATTGATAAAGATTTAAATTTATAATTGAATAGTTAAGTATTTGAAAAATATTATTAACATTTTAAAGAATTTAAGTAAGTTAACTTTGAAATTTAAACGTTTACAATAGAAGTAGAGATTATGTCTTGGTTTTATTTCTTGCAAGCAAGCTTCCAAATGACAAAATTTATATATTTCTAAGAGGCTTATACTCTCACTGTCTTGTATTCTAGGTTAAATTTTTAATTGGTGTTTTCTCGATGATTTTTTTATAGATGACTAACTTTAAATGATATAGTATTATTCGACATCACAATACCTTTCAAAAAAAGGTAGCAAATAAAGAGGGTCGCATCATTAGATTAGGAGAAATAGCGCTTGATAATTTTTAGAACTTCTGTGAATTTTTCCTCAAAACTTAATAGCAAAAAAATGGTTTTGTGGTTTTGAGTAAGTAATATAAAACTTCTCAGTTTTTAGATCTTTTTAAATCTAATCTTATTACAATTTAAATTAATGAAATGCGATTTAGATGATGCTGAAAATTTCTTTTAAAGTTAGGAGCATAAAAATAAAAATACTAAAAACAAAAACAAGAAGGAAAAAAACGAAAAACTAATCTAAAAAGAAACGACTGTTTGCTACTTAAATACATTTAAAAAAAATTTTAATTGCAGAATTGTATATGCATAGTTTTGAGACAAATACTTATAAGACAATCATTCACAACGCACGCCTTATAACTCAAATTTTGATTCGGTGACGGTCTTATATTTTACAAGTATCGAAAGATGGTACCAAATAGAGTAATCATCTGTAATCAGTTTATTTGCTAAAATTGAATGAAAAGGATTAGAAACATGTTTCGAATTTTCCCATCCTTTCGAGAATTGGATTCGAACGGGAGAAGACTCTTAACACTCATTTGAACTGAGCGCATCACAGCGTCACTCACACTCTGAATGTTTGATTTTGCTGCCAAAAGACATATTTTCTACGATTTCTTATCGATCAGTTATCACCAAGACCAATTAGAACCTTCTTCCTTTCAAAGACCATTCAAATAATGCTACTTAGTTTCTTCATTCACTAAGATATTCAACACCTTATCTTTTGACGAAGTAAATCAATGGAAGCTCAATTTGAATACTGAAATTTGTTTATTTCTGAAAACTAATTTGTTATTTTTTATAGTGCTTAAAGATATTTATATATTTTTTGCAACTTATTGATTGTTTATGAAACTTTTTAAAACCAAAGATTATTCAGAATACGAGCAATAATATATTTAAATTTCGGTTTTGATAAGTTTCGGTTTTCTTTAGTTTCGGTTTTCAGAACTTAGGTTAATTTCAGCAGAAAGAGGAATATTTAAATATAAAATTATAGTTTAAAGGATCTGTTTTTATTAGAACTTAAGAATAAATTCTTTATTTCGTATATTATATTAAAAAATTGTGATTAAATTAAAAAAAAATTATATTCTTTATTTTTTATATTAAAGTGCAAAATTAAAACATCTTATAATTTTATTAGTTTATTACTGTTCTTTTAAATCATCACTCTATACATGAAAAAAAAAATTTAAAAATTAAGCAACCCAACTATAAATTCTTTCAATTTTTTTTATGAAAATTAAAATCATAAATCTTTTTAAACAACACAATTATTTCGACATTCATTATGAATCATATCAGATAAAGCAATTACCACTCTTTATCAATTAATACTATAAATTACCACTCTTTATAAATGTCTTTAGAATCCTTATAGAGTTTAAGTCATGATGAATCAATTTGCAAAGTACAAACGCACGAACGATTATTTGAATTATAGAAAAAAAAATATCCCTATCAAAATCTGACAAATCGTTTCTTTTCATCCGCAAAAAAATTATTTACCTTGCTAGTTAATTGCAAATAATCAGGTGCTTTTCTTTTGTAGTTTATAAAAGTAGAAATATAGAATAACTCATAATTTATGTGGATATTGAAGTATTGTTGCCTTATGATAGTTTTTTTAAGACATTAGTCATATTTTACGCTGCACGCAAAGGAAGACCACGAAAGTATTTTTCAGCTTGCTTGGCGGTAATAAGATTACAGATAAATGCTCATTATCGAAATAAAAATCTAATTAATCATTTATAATATAATGAATTATTAAAAATATAATCAATCAATAATTATAATAAATCAATTTTTTCGTATCCTTAACAAACAGCCTATCATCTTTGTGATCGAAACGTTCTTCTTATTTTTGTAATTCTTAACTCCACCGAGAAATCAAAGTAAATAGCAATTTAAGTATCAGAGTAGATCTCATTTGCAATATTATTAAAATAACTTATTTTGAATAAGATTAAATTTAAATTAAAATAATCAAATTTTGCGTTTCACTTTAAGAAAAACAACAAAAATATTTTTCTGATTGCTTGATATTAGGATTCCAGCGAAATGTTCATAATCGCAGTGAATTACTTTTTATAATCAATATTTTTTTATCACCTTTGATAAACAGCCCATCATACTTGAGGATATAATGATACGCTTTTCTTATTTTTACAACTTCAAACTCAAACCATAAATCAAAGAAACTCCTAATTCAAGTATTGGGGTAAAATCATATTTACGAAAGTTATTAAAGTAAGTTGTCTTATTTAAAATAAAAATAATAAGATTTTTTTATTTTGCAAGTGAAGGAAAACCACGAAAATATTTTCAGATTGCTTGAGTGTGATGGGATTCTATCCAAATGATCATTATCTCAATGGGAAAAAAATTTCTAATCAATAATTTTTTTAATTATCTTTGATATCCTCGATATTTTTCATCTTAGTGAATGTTGTAAAACGCTCTTCTTACGTGACTTTCTAACTTCAATGTAACTTGCAATTTAAATATAGGAGTAAAATCATCTTTTGAAAGACCTTTTCAACGAAAATAATAAGAATTTACGTTACGCACAAATGAAAATGTGAAAAAGTTTCAATAACATCCTAATTGAGCGATAAAAGTCAGTAATAAGATTCTATTTCTGTGATTCCTTACATTTTTCAGATTATTGTGCTCAATATGAAGTTTAATGTTTTGAGCATGTTAAATAACTTACAAAAATGTTCTTTTTTATTTTTAGAAAGTACCCAAATTTTGATTTCTTTTTTCAAGTATCTAACTTTCAGAATGTTATAAAAAAAATCAGTTTTTAAAAATAATTTTTTTTTCAACGATAACAGCTGATAGTGAGATTCTACTTCAGTGATTCTTAACATTTTTAAATTTATTATGCTTAATATGAACTTTAATGTTTTGAAGAGCTTAAATTACTTGAAAAAATGTTCATTATTTTATTTCAATTTTTTTAAGTACCCAATCTATTTTTTTTAATTCAAGTGTTTGAATTTCAAAATGATCTAAAAATATTTTTTCAAGAATATATCAATTTTTCTAAAAGAATTTAAAATTAACAAATCTTTAAAAAATTTGAGAAGGAAATATGTTTAATATCTGTAACTTTTGTGAACTTTCGATTTTTCTAGCACAGAGACAAAGGTAGACCATTATTAATTATCATTAATAATTTTAATTTATAAAAATCAAATAAAGAAGAATAAATTAAATACAGCAGCTATAAAGAAACAATAATCTTCAATGAGGTCTTCTTTAGACAAAGATGAATGAATATATTAACAAAATAAAAATAAAAATTATATATTATTCATTTTTGTAATGAAGAAGAGCATATGATGAAGGTGCTTTTAATTTGTTAATGCACAGATTTGTTTTTTTTTTCAAATTATGCATTAAATATGTAAACAAAAATCATGATTTTATACATCTGAAATTCAGATTTTATGCATCTGAATCATGATTTTATACATCTGAATTTTTAACCCTTTTTATTTATTTTCAGAAATAGGACAAATAATGTTTTTTTATTCCTTTAATAAAAAAAAGTGAATATGTTTACATTAAACACCAGTTATATTATCCTAACACAAAATTTCATATAAGATCTTTAACATTAAACCAACCATTTCCCCTTAAATCTGGGATCTCTTAAAATTAGGGCTCACAATGAACGAGCTCGGTTGTATTTTAATTTTCAGGCTTTGCTTACTGTAAAATTTTAAGTTATTTTAGTTATAATTGATACTGAAATTTCAATATTACAAAAGAAAAATTAAGTTTTGTAAATTCTTACTAGCTTTTTGATACAAGCAAACAAATTCTAGTATTCTTATTTTTATTATGAAATCTTTCAGGCATAATGACAGTGGACGAAATTCTCGCTGTTTTGGATGAAAGACCGGACATAAGAGATGAAGTAATCGAGCTTCTAAGAAAATATGATGACTGTATAAGAGTCGGTGATGGAATGAGATGGAAGAAGGATTTAAGAGAAACATTATTGAGTTTCAATTACTTTAAAAATAAGTTATAGAAGTTTATAAACAATGGCAGAGAGTTTTTTTTTCTCTTTAATTTCTTTAAGATAGAATGTGTAAAAATTAAGTTGTCTATATTTGCATTCTATATTTTATTATGTAAGAGAAAATATTTTGATGATAAATTATTTATATTCATATCAAATAAATTATTTCATCCAATAGTGTTCTTTTTTGTTAAAAAAAATATTTTGAATTCACTTATTACATTGTAGAAAATTGGAGGATGGAGGGGGTGGAAACAAGCTTTCACTCATGGTCACACCTAAGCAGTTCTCGAGAGCCCCGGTAACTCAATAGGACCTTGGGAACATTTATATTTATAACCAGCGTTGGATAGACAACCTGGCAACCAATGTTTAAACACATAGCCGCCTTGTAATTTTGAGCCCAACCCAGAAAACAAGGGAATTCCTCTATCAAGCATTGGGACTGGAGAACTTTTCGATAGAACTAACTCGCATTTGTGTTACATGGAGAGGAAAACCACCCATGGTTAGCCAGACAGCAAAGGGATTCTAACCCATGAAGCATCTACCACTGAGGATATCTTACGTCGACACTGGGTTCAGCGTGAGCTGAGAGCAAATCTCATATCAACTAGCCACCGATGGGATTTGAACCCGGTTCACCTCAATGGAAGGCGAACCCCCTATCCCCTGAGCCACCATGGCTTCGTTGAGAATACTATATTTCATAGTTATTACTTCTCCCTGAAACATTTCATTTCAGCCCCTGGTAGAGTCCTGCAGTAATCGTGTTAGGGCTGTAGCCCATGTAACCTTACCTTAATCTGAACCTGTATGAAGTAATAAAACCATTACTTTAAGTTAAAATATTTTTTTATTAATATTTTAAAACACCGACACTTTCTGAAAAAAATCTGTTTGCACCCATCTGCAGTAAAAGGAAAGTTCTAAGCATTCCACATTGTTATTATCGTTTAAAGGTACATTACGCAAAAAACAAAGAGAGCACCCCAATAACCTTCACATACTAGGTTCCAGGATAACTTTACTTTTCACTTAATTTATTATTTTTAATGGTTTTAGGGACTAATCACAAATGTGCTAATTAATGAATGCAGACGATACTTTAAGTTACGAAATATGACCCAAAAATATGCTTTCAATAATTTAGGTAATTTCCCAATAATTTAGGTAATTTCCTTATTATTTAGGTAAGAGAGCAGTCAAAAATTTGAATCCTTTCAAATTTTATTACTTTATATGTATTTCGCTATGTCTCCGGAACTTTTATATCAAATCAAAATAGTTTCAACAAAATTATAAAACTCGTTTATTTAATGTAAATTTTTTGCAAAAAATACTTTCTTAATAATTTTATTGTATTTTCCATTATTTTTTAATAGTGAATGAAAAAAATTTTAATTGTAAGCTATACAAATGTTTTCACAAATTTAAATTAAGCAATGTAATTTTAAATAATAAAATCCAAAACATGAAGAAATTCGATTGGATAGTTCTAAAAAAAAAAATTTAAAAAAACCTTTTTAATCCCGATATTTAACAGGTCAAAAATTCAAACCCATCAAAACAAACCAAGAAAAAACAATTATTTAAAAAAGCCTCGTTTCTGTGCCTGATTTCATAACTTGAAATATCACCTCGTCTAATTAGTTAGCATATTTAAAAATAATCCTTCGAACCATTAAGGTTAAATCAGATCATTAAATCAATAGTTAAATTTTCTTGCGCACCTGCAATGTGGCAACCCTGGATCTTCAAACTTAGAGGGATGGTAGGTTAACCTTTCATACTCTTTCAGTACAAGCATAAACTCGGTAAATTAAGCTGATTGTCAGCAGTCCTCTTACTTGTAAAACCAATTTTACTGAGTCATTCTAAACATAATTTACATAACGCTGTTTTTCGAAGATCTGTCACCAAGGAAAATAAAAAAGCCATAGTTTAAGTGCCTTAGACATGAAGCAATGTGATGATTTTAAACTATATATATAGTCTTGACGTGAAGAATTATCTGGGCTTCAGAACAGACAAATAACTTAAATATTTTAAAATGTATTAAACTTTCTTAAAAATCGCCAAATTGGCGACATTTTTCCCCCTACATGAAACTTGTCAAAATCACTGCTTTATTCTCAGTTTTTGCAAATTTTTATGAGCTCAGGTAATGCAGCATTGAAGTAAGTTTTTAAAAATTAAAAAATTAGACCACAAACGCTTTTTCACCATATTGACATTTTGCGCCATTTTCAAAATAAGAGTAGACAGCTCTTGCTTTAGATAGGCTAAACTTGATCTAACAGTCAGGAGTGACAGTTGCAAACTCACAGCAGTTTTAAAAAATAGCATAGTATTTGCAAAAGAGTATCATTTCATATTACGAAGGAGCCTTCAAAAACAGCCTTAATATGAAACCACGGTAATAGTCAAACAATTCAAAAGAGGTTTTTTTTCTCTTATCGAGGGGTAAGGGGATTAGAGAATGGTTGCTTAAAAAAACCGCAATTTAACAAAATATTGTTAGATTTTTAAGATATTCAAATCGAACTTTTTTCATTATATGCCAACTACGATTCACTACAAAATTATGAAAAATAATTGTTACAATTGTTATGAAAAATAATTGTTTTCCGCGCATGCGCAGTATAAAAGAACTACCTTAATTACTTATATATTGCACAGATTTCAACGAATTTTTTCGAATTTTAAAGAAAACTTTGTAATTAATTTTCAATTGCGCTAAAACTATTTTTTTAATCTTGTTGAATATTTTTAAAGTTATAGCAAAAAAACATATATATATATATAAGTTTACAGGAAAATACTAATTTAAGCATATTTAGTTCGAAATCGGTCAATGATCACAGCATAAGTAGTGTTAAATGAAGATAGATACNCTATCTTAATTACTTATATATCGCACAGATTTCAACGAATTTTTTCGAATTTTAAAGAAAACTTTGTAATTAATTTTCAATTGCGCTAAAACTATTTTTTTAATCTTGTTGAATATTTTTAAAGTTATAGCAAAAAAACATATATATATATATAAGTTTACAGGAAAATACTAATTTAAGCATATTTAGTTCGAAATCGGTCAATGATCACAGCATAAGTAGTGTTAAATGAAGATAGATACTCTTAAAACTTTTTATAATTTTTTATGAAGACTGATTTAATTGAAATTGCTATGATATCAAGGAATACGTATCAAATGTTTGAAAATTCTGATATATAATTACAAATATTTATGAAAAATTTTAAATTGATTCATATTTATTCCAACATCAACTAACAACTTTGGAGTACTTATTTTGCTATATGAGGATAGGCACTTACGAAATTTTCATACTCTTTTGCAGAGACGAATCTATTTGAAACTTTTTTCCGTTTAAAGCAAAGAGCGTAAAATTTTTCAAAAACATCCACATATTTTCAGAAATGTTGGTAGAAATTTTTTTTTTAATCGTATTGTATAAAATCAGCTAAGTTTGAAACATATATAACGTTATAAGAGGAATGACATTCATAAGCTTTCTACAATTTTGAGATTGAGGGCTCCAATTAAAAATGACTCCATATTAAGAAATAGTCACCAAATTTTTTGAAAATTCTCCACTTTCAGGAAAAAATAATATTTCATTTTTTTTATTTTCTATAAATTATTCTTTATAGCTCTGTTTTAAAATTTCATGTATTATTGATAAAAACACAATAATGTTAAATTTTTCAATAAGTGCTTCAACTTCAAGGCGCTTGAGAATCGCTTTGGTTGAAAGTCCAATTTAAATGAAATTTTCTAAAGCCTGTTTCTTTTTTGCTCATCGGAGCAAGATTATGTGACAGGAGCAATAAAATTTTAACTTTTGGGAAAGAACATATAGCTTATATTGGTCATGTCAAGAATTTTTTCGCTTGTATTTAAATAAAAATATTATTATATATTTATTGTATATCTATTAGCTTTACTATAAATATTTTGCGTAAAGTAACTTACCACATCCTTGTTCATCTTCCCCATTGGGGCAATGCTTAATACCATCACAATGTTTCACTCGTTCTAAACAAACTGATGTATTTCCACAAGGAAACTCTTCTGCTTCGAAATTATTATTGCTATTAGCTTTACTATAAATATTTTGCGTAAAGTAACTTACCACATCCTTGTTCATCTTCCCCATTGGGGCAATGCTTAATACCATCACAATGTTTCACTCGTTCTAAACAAACTGAAGTATTTCCACAAGGAAACTCTTCTGCTTCGCATTTGAATTGTCCTGCTATAAAAAATAAAAGAGTTCTTAAAACTAAGATAGGATATTAATAAAATTTTATTTCAATCAACTGAATTTTCTTAAATTTTCGTAAAAATTGTTGACGAGTAACTAAGATAATAGTTTAGCAATTAAAGAAATGCGATAGAGCACAATATTTATGAGGAGATAAACATTAAATATTTACTTTTTCAAGTTGCTTCAGCTTCAATCTTATTTGACTGACATCGTAAAATAATATGATATCTTATAATATATACATCAAGAAAGAATTCAGCCCACTTAAACAGCATAAATGAACATCAGGGATTATTGGGAATCAAAAATACGCCCCTAATTCCCAATAACAACTTAACATTGGGAATAGTTTTGAATAGCACTATATGAAAATATTGAGCAAAACAATGGACAAAAATTTCGGGTGCTGTATTTTCTGAACTTTTTTTGTGTTGAGATATTTACTGATGAAATATTTACTGATGAGATATTTACTGATGAAAACTTTAGCTTATAATATATTTAATTAAATTTGTTTTATTTCATTTTTGTTCTACTTACTAATAGTACTAATATTTTTTAAATATTAGTGCATATTTTAAGAAGCAAATGAAAAAGCACATGAAATTATCAATGACAGCGAGTAGTGAATAGAGAAATTTTGCGCGGCGATGGGATATCCCTCTAAAATTGTTTGAGTTATCCCTTACCTTTCAACAGGAGTTTTTAAAACACACAATGAGGAGAGGTTGCTTTGTCGGTAGGATTTAATACTTCTTACGGGGGTAGCAGCTTTACAACAGCTTTAAAAAACACTCATACAGCAGCTTTAAAAAATACTCATAAATTCTTCTTTTTAATATTATGGTTAATCAGGGTTAAATTAAAATAAACCATGCTAAAAATATTTTTTTATGTATATTAAGGCACAGGAAAAAAATGTTCCATGCTTTTTTTTAAACCTATTTTCTAAAATAGAGGTGTACTGAAAATTTATATCATGTTTATGTCATGTTGACAAAAGCAAAAAATAAGGTAAATAAAGCACAAATGAAAGTACATAAATGGACATACTATAGTTCCAGTTCTATAAACAAGAACCCTCCTCAGTATCAACACTGAGGACGGTTCCTGTTTATAAAACTGAAACTATAGATTGTCCATTTATTTATTTTCATTTGTGCTTTATTCACGTTGTTTTTGCTTTAGAAATGTATAGCTTATGTTGTTAGACACGTAAGAGAAAAATACATCCAATATGTAACTATGTGAAGGCACACTAAACTAAAAGGGCAGTAACTATAAAAAGGCAGTTCACGCGAACTAATGTAGACTATAAGAACTGAAGTAATCATAGAACTAAAAATAAATCGTTTTTGAAAAACCTCGAATTGGAATTGAAAAATACAAAAAAATCATAGGTTTTTCATACTTTTGACTGTTCTCTCATTAAATTTAAAATAATTGAAGAATCCAAAATAATCTTCAACAAAGACTACAAAGAAAAATATAAATAACCAATTCGTCAAAAATTAATTACCTTTTAATTCAGATAACAACCAAGCGCAGTTTTTTTTTTTTATTTTCTACGACACTTAATGAGTATTTATATGCTCCAAAATTTCAAATAATAACACTTGGTTGCAGGAAAAATATTATTATCCAATAATTATACTCAATTATCTAACATGCATTTCTCTATCTCTCTATTTTTAATACCTTTTTAAAGTTATAAAAACTGACAATGAGTGTCAATTCAAATGCTTAACACGTGTACTTCATAAGCAATCAAAACAAATAATATTAACAAATAATATTGGTGTTATTTGCTTACGCTGTAAACGATTTCAAAAACTTTTACAAAATCGCTTCAGTTAAGCTACCATTAAATCAGTTACAGACTTTTTGCTTACACACTGCCAAATATATAATTATAGTTCATAAAAACCGATTTGAAATGCAGCTACTCACGTTCGTGAATATTTATCTAAATGCTTTTAACTGCATTTATCCTTTTACAACATCGTGATTGTTTGATATGGTTTCTAATTGATCGCGAAAAATATTTTAAAAAAGAAGAGAAAATAGCATATAATGAGAGGAGTAGGTTCAATAGTATTAAAATAAAGACGATGCAAGGCATAATATAATGTATCACATATTTTCCACAACATATTTATCATTATTATATTATTATATTCATACTTCATCAGTATGTACAAAATGCAAAAACGAATTACCTTGAATAACTTTTGATCTAATGATCTGAAACTCAATTACTAGTACTCAATCTTAATGAATTAAAGGGGTGACCTCAACTATGCTAATTAATTACTGCAGGCGATATTCAAAGTTACGAAATCAGGCAAAAAAACATTCTTTTTCAACATCGAATTTTGGGAGAAATTTGCCTTCGTGGAGAACTTTTTGATGGAACTAACTCGCATTTGTAACGCATCTAACTCGCGATCAAAGGTGGAGAAGAAAAGCATTAAAACCTCTCATTGTTTACCTGACGACAATTGGGACTCTAGCCCATATTCCGTCTACAAATGAGAATATTTTACACAGCACTGTGGTCTGTGCCAGCCTGATGCGGAATTCATATTGACCAGCTATCGCTGGGATACGAATCCAGTTCATATTATTGGAAGGCGAACGCTCTATCCCCTGAGCAACCACAGCTCTATAAAAGGCATTTTATTTTACTTTATTTCATTATTGGAAGGCGAACGCTCTATCCCCTGAGCAACCACAGCTCTATAAAAGGCATTTTATTTTACTTTATTTCATTTTATTTTATTTTAATTTATTTATTTATTTATTTTTTTATTTTTGAGATGGAGTCT